TTTAATCTTTTCATCCATCAATGGACATTTAGATTGTTTCTATACCTTGGCTATTGTGAATAATGCTGCAATGAACACAGAAGTGTTAATATCTCTTTGTGATCCTGATTTCAATTCTTTTGGATGTATACTGGATCATATGATAGTTCTATTTTTAAGTTTTTTGGTGTTTTTCTTTTTTAAAAATGTTTGTTTGTTTGTTTGTTTATAAAACACAAGTGGAGGAGGGGTAGGGAGAGAGGGAAAGAGAATCAAGCAGGCTCCTTGATGTCAGTGTAGAGCCTGATGCAGGGCTCGATCTCATGAACCATGAGATCATGAGCTGAGCTGAAATCAAGTCAGATGCTCAACTGACTAAGCCACCAAGGTGACCCTATTTTTTGTTTGAGAGAGAGAGAGAATCCTAAGCAGGCTTCATGTCCAGTATTGAGCTTGAACCAGAGCTTGATCTCATGACCGTGAGATCATGACTTGAGTTGAAATCAAGAGTCAGATGCTCAACAAACTGAGCCACCTAGGTGCCCCTAGTTTTAAGTTTTTGAGACACCTCCATGCTGTTTTCCATAGTGGAGGTGCCATTTTGCATTCCCACCCCCAGGGCACAGGGTTGCCATTTCTCTACATCCTCACTAACATTTATTCGTTTTTTTCTTTTATACTTTATTGTCAAGTTGGTTTCCGTCTAATACCCAGTGCTCATCCCAACAAGTGCCCTCCTCCATGCCCATCACCCCCTTTCCCCTCTCTTCCATCCCCATCAACCCTCAGTTTGTTCTCAGTACTTAAGAGTCCCTTATGGTTTGTCTCCCTCCCTCTCCTTAACTATTTTTTCCCCTTCTCCTTCCCTATGGTCTTGTGTTAAGTTCCTCCTGTTCCACACATGAGTTAAAACATATGGTATCTGTCCTTCTCTGCCTGACTTATTTCGCTCAGCGTAACACCCTCAAGTTCCATCCACGTTGCTACAAATGGCCAGATGTCATTCTTTCTCGTTGCCATGTAGTATTCCATTGTATAGATAAACCACATCTTCTTGATCCATTCATCAGTTGATGGACATTTAGGCTGTTTCCATGATTTGACTATTGTTGAGAGTGCCGCTATGAACATTGGGGTACATGCACCCCTATGCATCAGCACTCCTTTTTTTTTTTTTTTAAATAACAGCCATCCTGGCAGTGATATCTCATTGTTGTCTTGATTTGTTTTTCCTTGATGATTATTGCAATGCAGTTCTGGCATTATGGTTCTCAGTTCTTTATCCTATATTACAAGGGGGGATATTGTTGCACCTTATTTATCATAATGAAGATGAAATTTACCCATACAAGGATAGAAGTAATTTACTTATACCATGAGAAGTTATTTATTGTAAATGCAGAAAAGAAAAAAAAATCCCATCATTGGAGCTGGGTGTCAGAGATCAGCCTCCAGTGGCTGACAAACACGAGCAGCCCCTTGATAATTGTGATTAGTGCTTGTTGAGCTCCCGTACAGCGCCAGCCCCCTTACCCTCCTCCAACTATGTCAAACTTACCCCAGCCCCAGGGCCTTTGCACTTCCTCTTCCCACCACCAACCACTCTCTTCCCACTCACTATTTCCTCACTTCCCTCTAGTTCTACTCAAATATCGCATCGTCAGGGGTGCTTTCCCTTCCCAATCTATTTATCCCAGCCTCATCTCTCTATCCCTGCCGTTTTATTTTTCTTCCTGGAACTTAGCACTCCTGACTAATTATGTATTTATTTGGTTGCTTGCCCACTGGAACGTGAGCTTTGTGAGAGCACTGTTTTTGTTCACCGATATGTGATCAGGACCTAGGACAGCACCTAGCACACAGTAGGTGCTCAGTAACTAATTGCTGATGTGGGGGGGCACATAACCAAACCACAGAGTGTCTGATGGGGTCAGCCATAGGAATCTGGACTTCAACCATGAGGCACAGGGAGCCAGGAGGTCTTTGATAATTAGTTTTGTCATCGTCCTCTTTAAAAAAATGTATTTACATGCAAAAATCTCACCCTTTTTGGTGTGCAATTCTATGAGTTTTGACAAATGAATACAGTCACATAACCAACACTACAATCAAAACACTAGAACTATTTCGTCACCTCTAAGATTCACTTGTTCCCCCCTCTACAGCCATTGATCTCTTTTCTGTTCCTATAGTTGTGTCCTTTTGAGTGTGCATATAAATGGGATCATCCAGTAGGTCGCCTCTTGAATCTGGCATCTTTCAGCTATAGCACAATGCATTTCAGGTCCATTCATTTTGTGTATATCAATAGTTCATTCCCTTTTATGGCTGAGTCTATTGTATGGACCGGCCCCAGTTTTTTTCTTTTTTAATCCATTTCCCAGGTGAAGAATATTTGTGTCGTTTCCAGTTTTTGGTGATTATGAACAGAGTTGTAATCATTCTTCGTATACAAATATTTTTAAAAACAGATATAATAATTTAGGTGGACATACATTTTTAGGTCTCTCTACCTCGGAATGAAAATTGCTGGGTCACATGGTAACTTGGTGTTTAACTTTTTAAAGAACTGCCGAACTGTTTTCCAAAGCAGCCTCACCATTTCACATTCCCACCAGCAGGGTATGAGGGTTTCATACACTGTGCTGACCCCACATTCCTGGTCAACACTTGCTATTGTCTGTTTCCTTTTAGGCACCCAAGTGGGTGTGAAGTAGTATTTCACTGTGGTTTTAATTTGCATTTCCTTGCTTATTCCAGATCTTCTTTGCCATTGGTGTATCTTCTTTGGAGAGATGTCTACTCAAATCCTTTACCTGTTTTGTTTTGTTTTGTTTTGTTTTAATAGACTTAATTTTTAGAGCAGTTTTAGGTTCACAGTGAAATTGAGCAGAAGGTCCAGAGATTTCCCATGTACTCCCTGCCCTGCCCATGCACAGCCTCCCCAGCAGAGTGGTGCACTTGTCACAAGCAGTGAACGTACAGTGACACATCGTATCATCCAAAATGTACATTAGGCTTCAGTCTTGGTGTTGTACATTTTGTGATTTTTGGACAAATGTATAATGATGTATATCCACCATGACAGCATCATACAGAGTAGATTCACTGCCATAAAAATCCTCTGTGCTTCATCTGCTTATCCCCCGTGCCCGCCAATCTCTGCCCATTTTAAAATCTAGGCTATTTGTCCTTTTACTGTAGGCTTGTTAGAGTTCTTTATATATTCTGGTGACTAGTCCCTTATCTGATATATGATTTGCAAATACTTTCTCCATGCGGTGGGCATGAACAGGTTTTTGTGGGCCCGTAGATTTTCATTTCCCGTGGGTAACTACTCACGAGTGGGACTGCTAAGTCATGTGGTAAACGCGTGTGTCACTTACAAGAAAGTTCTGCTCCATTTTCCAGAGCGGATGTACCATTTTGCATCACCACCAGCAATTAACGATTCCAGTTGCTCCACATCCTCATCCACACTTGATATTGTCAGTTTTTTTAAAAAAAAAAATCATCCTAAAGGGGTCCTTAAAGCCTTATCATAGTCACATTCTACAAGGTGGCGTCACACACTGGGACAGAGGAGAGTTGATGAGGCCAGGGAGAACTGTGAGGGTCCAGGCCAGTGGCGGGGGGGGGGGCGGGGAGATCCGAGAGCAGTTCAGGGGGGAGAGGCCGTGGCACTAGAAAAGGCTGAGCGGGAGAAGAAACTGGAGCCAGGCGAGACCCAGAGCAAGAAGAGCATGGAGCGCCAGGCTAAGGGCTTTTGACTCCCAAGGTTTCTGCCCAAGAGGATTCTGGGTCCTCATAAGGTTGGCAGCTGCTACATTGTCTTTACCCACTGAGGATGCGTGATGAATATTAGCATACTCAAGGCTCTGACAAGTCCGGCAAATAAAGAATTCTCTTTGGTATTATTATTTTTTTTTAATATATTTTTAATTTATTTCTAGGAGAGAGAGAGAGACAGTGTGAGCAGGGGAGGGTCAGAGAGAGAGGGAGACACAGACTCTGAAATTGGCTCCAGGCTCTGAGCTGGCAGTCAGCACAGACCCCGACGTGGGGCTCGAACCCACGAACCGCGAGATCATGACCCAAGCGAAAGTCGGACGCTTAACCGACTAAGCCACCCAGGCGCCCCAACTCTTTGGTATTATTTAACCAGTTGTTTCTCAAACTTACACCTTGGATCACTTTTCTTTAGCCATAATGTCGTCGTCATCATCATCTCCAGTGCACATCTCAGGACCTCATTTTTTTTTTTAATGTTTTTTTATTTATTTCTAGGAGAGAGAGAGAGACAGCGTGAACAGGGGAGGGTCAGAGAGAGAGGGAGTCACAGACTGAAACAGGCTCCAGGCTCTGAGCCGGCAGTCAGCACAGAGCCCAACGCGGGGCTCGAACCCACGAACCGCGAGATCATGACCTAAGCGAAAGTCGGACGCTTAACCGACTAAGCCACCCAGGCGCCCCATCAGGACCTCATTTTTGCTCACCAAGTTATGCTCCCAGTCCCTAAAACTGGCTTATATGCAACAGTCAAAAAAAATTTTTGTTTTGGTTGCATTAATGATCTTATTAGACCTTCAGAACGACTCTCTGAGTTAGGCACTGACACATCTTCCCTCTTACACCTGAGGCTCAGAGAGGTCAGGTGACTCGTCTAAGGCTGCACAGCTAATGGGTGGAGAGCGAGTATTTGAGCCGGGGTGCGCTCGCAGCCTCTCCATCAGGCCGCCTGTCTCTGGAAGGCGTCCCATGCCCCCCGCTTCACCCGCCAGTGGCAGACGAGGTCTGCTGCTCTGTGACGTCCTACAAGTCCTTCTTGTCCTGGTGGCCATGGACATACCCGGGCTGCTGCCCAGAGAGCTGGGCTGTAACTTGATCTCCCCCAGGCTGGGGGTGACAGGGCGGGTGGGCAGGTGACAGCCGGGGCAGGGAGATTTGCCCAGACGCTGATGTGCCGCAGCCTGGCAACCCGTGTGGCCCAGGGGAGACCAGGGGCTCCGGGGGCTTGTCCCAGTGTCTCGGCAGTGTCCCCACCATGGGCAACAAGCAGACGGTCTTCACTCATGAGCAGCTGGAAGCATATCAGGTAGGGGTGACACGCGGGGCCCTCAGTAGGTTTGACAGCCTTGATTTCTCGGCCTGTGGAATGGGGACAGCATCGTCTGTCTTGGGTGTGCAGTCAGCAAGGCTCCCGGCGCAGCATCAGACAGAGATGGGCGCGCGGCGGAGGGACAGGAAGGGGCCCCCGAGGCAGGCTCCGGGCCAAGCCAGTATCTCTCTCCACAGGACTGCACCTTCTTCACAAGAAAGGAAATCATGAGGTCAGTCGGGGAAAAAGGGAGGAAGTACCCGCTGCTAGAGGATATTTGCAATTGGACGGGACGGGGTGCTTTATGACGGTTAAACCATGAAGGGAGGGATCGCAGGCATGGTCAGCGGATGGGGGCAGAAGTGGGGAGGCTGAGAAGCCACATCTTGTCATATTGTCATGGCCGATGACATGACATCGGCTGATTAGCTTGGGCTTTTTCCGAGGGAGGTGGGGGCCATGGAGAGTATGTGAGCCGGGGTGGGGGCAGGAGGGGTACAGGTCAGCATGTTAGAAAGGTCCCCCCTGAGGAGTGTGCAGAGGCTGGCACTGGAGGCTGGGAACCTGGGGGCACGTGGGGGGTGGCATCAGGGTAAGGGTGCGGTGGGCGGCCTGAGGCTGCTGCATTTCCCTGGCGTGAACGAGAGGGGATTGGTAGGTATCCCACATCACAGCTCAGCCCGTGGAGCCATTGTCCGGAGGCCCCAACCCATGAACTCGGAGCGGTGAAACCCTAGCTGGCCGGGGTTCAGGGCCAAGGCCCCAATTGTGTGGGCACCGGATATCCATTATTGATGGGCACACCTTTCACCAGTGAGCCCCATTGTCTGGGTGAGGACAGCTCACAAGGTCACCCTGGCCATCACGATCAGGTTACCCGTGGGGAAACTGAGGCTTGCACAGGGGAGGCTGACCCCGGCTCTGCAAGACGGGCAGAGCTGCAAGGGGTTTGAGGGCTGGCGTTTCATCTGTCCTAAGCTGCCTGTGTCTCAGCACAATAACGGGCTCAGCGGGAGAAAAGGCGATGTGCTCACGGCCGCCAGAAACCCAGCCCCGGGCTGTTCCCCGAGGGGACCCGGACAGGGAGCTGACATTCCAGATACCCCCTCCTTGAGTTCCTAGCCGCCGTAGGCCCCAGGGGCTCCTGTCTCCCCTGGAAATAACCCCCAGCAGCTTGGGGGCCTCTGACTCATCTAGGATGTGCTCTCCAAGGCCTCTGCTCATGGCGCCCCCTAGTGGAGGCAGGGGGTCAGCGGGCGAGGACACTGCAGCCGAGAGCCGGCCTCACAATCTAGGCAGTGTGGGTGGCATCCGGTGTTTTGCAAAATGCCTTTCACGCACGAAAAAACCCCCTGAATACTGGCCTTCTGTCTCGGCTCTGCCCCATTTAGCGAACCCTCCCATTACGGAGGGAGAGAAGGAAAATGTGAGGACGGGGGTCCTGGCTGACATCCAGAGATTCACAGATTCGCTCAGACTCTGAGTGCGTGATGCATGTTCCCTCTTGCCATCCCCATCTGCCTGGGGACGAGCTCCTACTCATTCTTCAAAGCGCAGTATCTCGAGTGTCCGCACTCCCGTCCCCCCTAGCTCTGGGGCCGTCTCTGCACCGTGGCCCTGACCCCAGGGGTAGAAGTACCTGCCTGTGTTTGGCTGTGTGTGCTTGAGGGCTGGGCTGCACGCGGATGACGCTTGGGGACCCAGGGTCCTCCGGTGAGGAGTGACCAGGTGCAGGAGTGAGCCAGAAGGGACACGCCCCCCCAGCCCCTATCCCAACCCTTCCCCATGTTTCCCTCCCCACACCAGGCTCTTCTATCGCTATCAGGACCTGGCTCCCCAACTGGTCCCCCTCAACTATACCAGCCGCCCTGACGTGAAGGTGCCCTACGAGCTCATCGGCAGCATGCCCGAGCTGAAGGTACGCCGGGGCCGGGGTCCCCTGCCGCACTCCTACGAAGGGATGCATTTTGCAGGTGAAGAAACTGAGGTTCAGAGAGGTTAAGATGCTTGGGCATGGTCACACAGCTCGGATGTGAGAGAGACAGGATTGCAAACCTGGGCAGTTGGGACGATGAAATGAGATGATGCGAGTAAAAGGCATGGCACGGGGCCTACTGGGCGGCGGGTTCTCAGGGAAAGTCCGCCCTGCTTTGCAGAGCAGGGGCCATTAAAACAGCAGGTTTTTCTCAGCTCGAGGTTTGTCGCATAGTTTGTGACGCTGAAGGGGGCTTGCGGGGTGAGTGAGTAGAGATGATTTTATCACAAGGGACAGAAACCTCATTCAAGGGGCGCCTGAGTGGCTTAGTCGGTTAAGCGTCCGACTTTCACTCAGGTCATGATCTCCCAGTTCGTGGGTTCGAGCCCCGCGTTGGGCTCTGTGCTGACTGCCGGCTCAGAGCCTGGAGCCTGCTTCAGAGTCTGTAACTCCCTCTCTCTCTGACCCTCCCCTGCTCACGCTGTCATTCTCTCTCTCTCTCTCTCCTAGAAATAAATAAAACATTAAAAAAAAAAAAAGAAACCTCATTCAAGAAGGACAAAATCTTGGGGCACCTGGGTGGCTCAATCGGTTAAAGGTCCGACCAGCTCAGGTCATGAGCTCTCAGATTGTGGGTTTGAGTCCTGAGCTGGTCTCTGCACTGGTGGTGCGGGATTCTCTCTCTCCTTCTCTTTCTCTGTCTCTCCCCCACTGTGCTCTCTCTCTTTCAAAAATAAATAAATAAACTAAAAAAAGAAAAAGAACAAAATCAATTGGATCACATGAGCCAAAACTCCAGGGGCAGAGCTGGCACCAGGTACAGCTGAAACCAGGGTCTCAGAGGACATGCTCAGGAACCTCCCTCCATCCCTCAGTGCCTCCCAGGAAGAGGCTTCAGTCTCGGCAGCTTACTCACTTGAAGTAGTGAAGCAAAGGCCCTGTGGTCCCAGATTCCCTCCCATCAGCTCTGCAACCAACAGACGGCAGATCCCTCCATCCCCATCTTTCAGAAAACAACCCAGGGCAGTGTCTGATTGGCCAGCTTGGGTCCCCCTGCCTATCCCAGAGCCAATCATGGCTTCCTAGTGGATGGTGATCTCTGATTGGCCTCAACCAGGTCATGTGGCTGCGTCTGGAGCCTGGAGTGGGGTCAAGGCCAACCAGACCTCAGGGGCAGAGAGAAGAGTTGCCTGGGGCCCTCTCCCGGCACCGTGAGGAGATACTTGAAGGGGGATACTTGGTGGCGGGTACTTGAAGGTTTCAGGAAGGTGGGTGCTGAGAGCGAGTCCAGCTGGAGCCCTGAGACCCTGGGCAGGGATGGCCACCCTGCTCCCTGCCCCCAGGACAACCCATTCCGCCAGAGAATTGCCCAGGTGTTCTCTGACGATGGGGACGGCCACATGACCTTGGACAACTTCCTGGACATGTTTTCTGTGATGAGCGAAATGGCTCCCCGCGATCTCAAAGCCTACTACGCTTTCAAAATTTATGGTGCGTGCAGGGCCCGGGGGGTGGGGGAGCATGGGGGTGGGGCGTGAGAATGGGGGTGTGGGGGGGGGCATGGGAGCAAGACCAGGGCTTCAAGGCCGTGCACGGCCCTGTCCTGCCCCACCTTGGTACCTGCTGACCCCGTCACCCTACTTATTCCTTTCCAACCACACTGGCCTCGCTCTTCCTCCACCAAACTCTTTATCCCCCTGGGCCTCTGCCTCTGCTGTTCCCTCTGCCTGGAACACCTTTCCCTTGACTCTTTCTTACCTTGAAGCGTAGGTCAAAAGCAGCCTCTGCCCCGAGTCCCTGTCACTCTCCACCCCCACATCCTATTTCTCTCTCAGCATAGAGCAGTGCTTCTTAATTTCTTGTTCATGATCTGTTCACCTCTTTTCTTTCTTTCTCTCTTTTTGTTTTATTTATTTATTTTGAGAGAAAGAGAGAGTGGGAGAGGGGCAAAGAGTTGGGGGGGGTGGGGAGAATACCGAGCAGACTCTGCACTGTCAGCGCAGAGCCCAATGTGGGGCTCAATCCAATGAACCGTGAGATCCTGACCTGAGCCAAGATCAAGAGTTGGATGCTTAACTCACTGAGCCACCCAGGCGCCCCTCTAATCCATCCATTTCTTATTGACTTCTTTCTGATGAGACCCAAGGGCAGCAACCGCAACTGTTTTCTTCCCCATCTGTCTCCCATGCCTGGCACATAGTAGGTGCTCAGTAAACACTTCTTGGATGAATGGAAATTTATCACAGTGCCTAGCACATAGTAGGCGCTCCCTAAATACTTGCCGAGTGAATGAATGGCCTCCCGGCAGGTCCCTGCCCAATCCTAAAGCAAGACTCCAGCTACTCCCCCAGCGTTTTGGGTTCCCTCCGGTGCCTCAGTCTCCTCCTCTGTAATGTGGGGACCAGAGGCCCAGCCTGCACCCTGCCTCCCCTCCCGTGCTGCTGCACAGACTTTAACGACGATGGCTACATCTGTGCGTGGGACCTGGAGCAGACGGTGACTAGGCTGACGCGGGGGGAGCTGAGTGCTGAGGAGGTGAGCCTGGTGTGTGAGAAGGTGCTGGATGAGGCTGATGGGGACCACGACGGGCGGCTCTCCCTGGAGGACTTCCAGAACATGATCCTGCGAGCACCCGACTTCCTCAGGTGACGCTCCTCGCCATTCCCTCTTCCCAGTTCCCAGACCCCGTTTGTGAAAGCTCCTCCACCCATTCATGTGTGACTGGGGAACATTCCCAGCCTCCCTGGCCTCAGTCTCTGCATCTTTAAAATGGGGATACCTGGGGCCCCCTAGGGCACCCCCTGTGGGTGGATGCAGTTCTTCGGGTGAATGCAACGTGGCTGGTCTTCAACCCTCACTTGCCTGAACGTTTTGCAGTGGACAGAGCGTACAACTGTGCTTGGCAGTCCTGGGGACGATCAAAGCCCCCACCGGAGGGCTGAGAGCAACTTAACACAGGGGGCGGCCGGCCATCTGCTTTTGTGCCTCCTGTGAGCTAAGAAGGGCTTCTGCATTTTTTAAATGGTGGGGGAAGGATTAAAGAAGAATAATACCGCGTAACACATGAAATGGATACGAAATTCAAATTTCCGTGTCCCTCAAGGGTTTTACTGGCGCACAGCCACGCCTGAATGTGTCTGTACCGTCTACGGCCGCTTTCAAGCTGCAAGGCCCAGCCGAGCCGGCGCACAAAGAGCTGGAAAGATCAGCTCTTTGGCTCTTGACAGAAGAAGCTGGCTGAGCCCTGAGTTAGGACTCGGAAAGACCAGAACAGTGCCTGGAGCACAGCAGGGGCTCAGCAGCTGTGTGCGGGCTTGCGGCTGTGGCTGCGGTTCTGGGTGGTGTCCGCACCTGTGCAGAGGCCCCTCCTCTACCCCGAGGAGCGCGGGTCTCCAAGCAGAGCCGCGGATAATGACGTCTGAATGAACCCTACCACTGACCAGTACCCCGTGTACTCGCCCCCTGAGCCCTCGGTACAGCCCCAACGCAGGAGGGACAGGCTCTATCCCCATTTTACGGAGGAGTAAACTGAAGCCCAGGAAGGCATAGCCACTCAGAGTCCCACAGCAAGTCTGGGGCGGAGCCGGAATGTAAACTGATCCAAAGAGATGTGCTTTCAACCCCAATGGGGGGGCGGGGTGACACCACCTGGGGTTTTTGAGGGGATCCATCTCCCCCTTTCCATGGCTCCTTGCATATCTCAGGGCCTCCCATCGGGAGAGTGTGAGGGGAGGGGGAGGGGGAGAGAGGGGAACCCTGTGTCCATGACACTGACTCTATCTCTCTTTGCACACAGCACCTTCCACATCCGCATCTGAGGGAGCCATGGAGAAGCTGGGTCAGAGGAGCAGAGGAGGCGGGGTGACCCGTCACTCCACTGCGGAATCCGGTCTCCCTGGGTCCCGGGAATAAACACACTGAGTCGCATCTGCTTGGAGGATGTGTTTTTCACCTTAAACCTGCCGGATGGGAGAGAGGAAGCCTGGGGTTTCACCTCTGCCCTCCCCGTGGGACCTAGCTGTGGCTGCGCCCTCTGTGAGCCATGACCTCCCCATTTACACAAGAAGGGGCTGACTGCTCCCTGTCCACTGTGAGGGCCCGGAGTGCTGGGTAGTTGTGAGTCTTGTGGGGCAGAGACCAGATATGGAGGTCAGGTCCAGGCCATCTCACCCCAGGGCCGCCCAGCGTGGAACTGCTACCCCCAGTCCCCTCTCTTCCCCCCAGTCCTGGAGTTTCTCAAGGGGACCAAAGCTGTAACCCCCTGCTGATCTATGAGAACTGCCAGAGGAGGCCTCTGAGGGGGGTGGCAGCAATGGCATTCACGGAGGCTGGCACCGCACTTTACAGTTTACAAAGCGCCTGTCTCTCAGTCATTGCACTGGTGCCTACGGCATCCCAGCAGGGCTGACGGAGAAGCAGTCACCCTTTGTTCAGGGAACACAGTGAACTGCCCAAGGCCACACCTCACATCATCTGCAAAGGCAACCTTGAACCCGGGCCGCCTGTTTCCGGATCTCAGACGCCCGCACCTTGCAGATTTGAGACGCCCCACACTCACTCCACTTGTGGCCATCCCAGGGCCCCGTCCATAGCCCCACTCAGTCCAGAGAGTGCTCATTCCTGCAGCGGAGACCAGCCCCCAGGGACCTTCCCAGACACCTCCACGAGCATCATTTTTAGACCCTGCGCCCACCCTACTCTCACTTAACTGAGCACCTACTGTGAGCCAAAGCCTTAGCTTTCATGTGCATCCTGCTGGTTCATCCTGAGAAAGAGGGGCTGCTCCTCTCCCCATTTTCCAGATGAGCCGACAGGCCCAGAGAGGTCTAGTGACTTGCCAGGGGTCACACAGCCCTGTGACCTGGGACCCCCTCCAGAGCCCACCACCAGCCACAACCCCGGGCTGCCTCTCCTTCTTTAAAGGAAAGGCTCATAAGCTTCTCCTAGAGCTGACGTCGATGCGGGAGGGTGCACTGTGTGCCAAGCCCTCGGCGCGTCTCACCTCCGTCGGCAGAGGACCCCGGGGGGAAGGAGCGAACCACTCTGTTGGCAGGCGAGGATGTACTCGGAGTCGAGCCACACGCAGGGGACGCGGGTTTCCAATCCAGGAGCTAGCACCCTGTATCTGGGTGACCTTGGCTGTGCCTCTCCTCCTCTCAGACCCTTAGTCTCTTCTTCAAAATGGGGAGCATGGGCCTACCTGCTGGGTCTGCTTAGGGATATCGTAGAAGTAATGAACTTGGCACCTACGGTGGCCCTTGCTGTAACTGATCACTACTATTCAAATAACCAGGTCACCCCACTGGCAAGTGCAGGACCCCAAGCAGTGTCTTTATTACATTTCTCGGGTTCCGGCGGGCTGGTGGGCAGACAGCCAGGGTCCGGTGCGAGCAGCCCCTGGCAGCAAGCGGCCCAGAGCCAGGGCAAGGCTCTAACAGTACCCAGGGGCAAAGGGTGGCGGCGTGAGGTACTCCTCAGGGAGCCAGTCCTTCTGGGCTTCTCCCAGGCCCTCTGTCTCTGGTTTGGTTGGTTTGTTTGCTTTTGAAGACAGGACCCTCATTACCACTTGGTGCCAAGCCCTGACCCTTGGGTTAACCTTGCTCCTGCTGGCCACTCTCGAGGCCTTCCCGGAGGAGGGGTCCTCTCTGTCCCTCAGACTCTGGGGCTGTGGGGGACTTGCAAGGGACGTGGCCACAGAGCGGTGTGTGGAGACGTCATCTTCCCAGCCTGTGTCCCCTGGCCTGGCCCCTGGGCTGTGTGCCCCTGCTGGCGGCCCAACATCCCAGAGCGATGACAGAGTCACAGGTGACATGTGGGGCTTCAGCTGCTGCTGGAGCCTCTTGCCCGACTCGGGGAGCATCTTGAAGCTTCTGCAGAGTTTCCGGCAGGCCACCTCCAGGGGGGCGTTGGGGGCGCGCGAGGAAGTGGCTTCCACGGTGGAGGCTCTGCGTATCTCTGCCCGGGGCTTCCTTTCCTTGGGCCGACGCAGCAGGCTGGGCCTTCCCGGGGCCTGAAACCAAGAGCGGGTGAGGCCTGGGGCCATTCGGCCCCCCAAGCCTCTGAATCTGCCCTGGAGGTTGGGACACGGGTCTCACTTAGGCCCCTTGGGGCTGACAAGGACCCCAGGGGACCCCCAAGCCTGATCCCACGCCCCACCCTTCCCACCGGCCTAACCAGCGTCATGGTCTCCCCCCAGGGCCAGGGAGCGAATGCGTTCAGGTTCGTCCGCCACCCAGTCCCGGTCTCGCCCCCGAGCTCTGCTGTCCTAGAGCCACGCCGCCAGGGTTGTGCGCCCACGGGAAAGTGCCCGCGCGCCGATGAAGCCGCCTGGAAGGGGAAATTTGACTTTCGTCCTATTTTCGCGCAATGGTACGGCAGGAAACATCACTTTCGTCTGTAACTGTTTCAGCGCATTCCAAAACATAGACGCCATGCGCAGCTCGTGGGCCAGACGCCGCAGGGCCACACGGATGCCGCCCTCGGGCCCCGGTTTGCAGACCCTCATCTACCTGGCTGCTCAGCCCAAACCAGGTGCCCTTTGCGCAGGTGGCCGGCAACGCCGCATCCGCATCCCCCACCCTGGGCACCCAGGGCCCGGGCTCCAGCGCCGCCAAACGAAACCTCCAGGAACGGCATGTGACCAGCGCCTAACGCAAGTCGGAGCTGGAAGGTCCATACCGCACCCCGCCCCAGGGTGCCGGGTCTCAAGCCGAGTCCCGCCTTCCCCAGGGAGATGGAGCCCATCTTTGGCTCCCCCGGTGGTGCATCCTGGGATCACCTCCCAAACAATGCAGGGCCTGGGGACTCGAACCACGACAGCGTCCAGCTTCTCCTCGCCAGCTGCCCCAAGCCATCAGCAGGCTCCCCTCCAAAATGTCCCAAGTATTCTCGTCTTGCTCTGCCTCTAGGGATCCTTCTCCGGTCCTCCCACCTGGACAATCCCTGCCTCCTTCCTGTCACGTCCATGGGGAGTCCCCACGACCCCCACGACCTCACCCTGGCCCTAAGGCCCTGTGTGATTGCCCCCCCCGATCCTGCCCCTTACTTCCCACTGATCTCCCTTTCACTCACTCCACTCCATCCACACACTGGCTGTTGTTGTTCTTTTGTTATCCAGACACACTGAGCCTCAGGACCTTTGCACGTGCTCTTTTCTCTGCCCGAAACACCCTCTCTGCATCTCTGTGTGTGGCTGACTCCTCCTCATCCTACATGTCCCAGCCCTATGCCATCTCCTCCAGGAGGTCTTCCTTGACTGTTCCCTTCACGCTTTAGCCCCGCACCCACTGCTGTTCATTGCTCTGGCCTATTTCGTTTCCACTACTGCCAGAACGTCCCTGCTGTGTGGGGGGCAGGGAGGGCACTCAGCCTAGGGGCTCCTGGAGGTCCAGTCAGCCCTGGGGAGATGGGAGTCATTAATTTACTCATTCACTTACTCCACATTCATTAGCTGAGCGCTTTCTATGTGCCAGGTCCTGTCCGAGAGGAGGAGAGGCAGATAGATGAATAAGATAGCGTGGACAAGTCAGATAGATTCCCAGGCCTCTCAGAGCTCACCAGCACATGCAAAGGCCCCGAGTCTGATAGGAAGGCAGACAGGAAACATGAAAGCCCACAAATAGACAAGACTTTTTACATTGTAAGGAGTGCTCTGCAGTGAGTAAACAGGGTGATGGGGTGGCGAATGCAGAACGGCTACTTTCAGTCTGGAGCTGGGGAGGGAGACACTTGAAGAATTGAAGAAAGAAGCCAGGCACGGGAAATCTGGGGGCAGAGCACACACAGCATGTGCAAAGGCCCTGGGGGGTGGTGCCACCAACATGTGCAAAGGTCCTGGGGTGGGACCAGCACATACAAAGGCCCTGAGGTTAGCTTGATGTGTCTGAACACCGGAAGGGACAGCAGATGGGCTGGAGCGGCTGGTAATGGACAGAAGTGGGGCGGGGGGGAGGTGCTGAGGTCACAGTTGGGATGTTAGTTAAAGGGTCCTGCAAAATCTCTGGAAGGTTCTATAGTTGGAGCTATAGAAAGTTCTATAGTTTTTCGCTCTAGAAAGTCTCCTCTGGCAGCTGTTGGCCACCTCTGCTCCTGCCCATCCCATGTCAGAGGTGCAAGCTCCCTGTCACATACCTCCTCAGGTGTGGCCGTGGGATAGAAGGAAAGACTCCGACATTCGCTGGGGCCATGGGCAGGGCTGGCGACTTCCTCAGTCAATGCATTGGAGTAAAGGAAGAGGTCCTCGTAATCCACATTCTCTGGATCCTTCTGCGGGGCAGAGGGGGCCTGCAGCTCAGCCCCAAGGCAGGGGATGGGGTGGTTCCGGACAAACCGGGGAAGGTGGGCTCAGGAGCTGCCTTGCCCACAGCCCTGGTACGGACGCTGCCCCTCCCACATCAGCTTCTGGGGCCTAGACGCCTCTACGCCCCGCCATAAGGACATATTCTATTCCTACAGATCAACCGAGGTTACACCCCCCCCCCCCCCCGCCGCCGCGCATGAGCCTTGTACAAATTAGCTTGGGGAGCTGGGGGGAGGGGTTGTGCAGAGAACAAGGGAGGAGGGGGGGCCATGAGAAGACGGACCACGAGAGTGACAGAATCACAAGACACTGAATGGGGTGAGTGGGAATGAGTCTGGGGGCTTGGCCCCCAGTGGGGGGCAGCTATGACCCACCGGGCTTGCAATCCTCACCTGCCCACAAGGCTGTGTCAGCAGGTCCCCGTGTGGCCGCACAGGCTGCTGCCGGTGGAAGGTGACCAGGGCATCCAGCGAGGCGTGGACCCTCTCCTCCCCGGGGATCATGACGCTCCCATCATCCAAGAGCTTCACCATGAAGTGGCAGCAGCAGCTTTGGGCTCTGCGGAGACACTGCTGGGGCTAGGAAATTCCCTTCCTCCTCCTTCTGTCCCCGTCTCCCAGCCCTCGGGCCGGCAGCACCCACTGTTTAGGCTCCCATTAGCTTTCTGCACTTTTTAGCCATGGGACACTTGGTGACTGACTAAACACACCATGCCTCAGTTTCCCCATCTATAACCTGGGGCTACTAAGGCTGACCTCAGGGGTTCTTATGAAAATGGAATAAGCTACTGTGGATAAAACTTAGCTCAGTACCTGGCTACGGTCAAATGATCAATAGAAATGATAACAGTGAAAATTTGAGTCAGGCCCCAGGCTAAGGCTGTATGCCTGGCACACAGCAGGTTCCTAATAAATGCTCTATTAACGAATGGGTGCATTTATTAATGGCCCACTGTGGGGCCATTTAACTTTCACTTCAAGACTCTGAATTAATTTTAGCATTCCTATATCAGAGATGGGGACTTTGAGGGAGGCACAGATAGGTTGAGTAACCCGTTCAAGGTCACACAGCATATATGTGGCAGAGCCAAGCCCTTGACTGTGTGACTCAGGACTGAAGATTTTCTCACTGTGGGCAACTCTGTAGTGGCGCGACTGGATTTTTTTTTTTTTTTTTTTTAATTCCTTTGGTCTAGAATCCTTTTGAAAATTAGTTTGTGCGGCTGAATCTTCTGAGATGCCACATCGGGTTTGGAGGCCTTAAGGAGTTGGACTGCTGTGAGTTCCCCTCACGCGTCCCTCTGGGTGGAGGCAGAGAGTTGCCAGGTAGATGGGAGGGGAGGGCAGTAGCCCCCCAGCAGCCACGCAGGCTCAGTTACCACCGAGCCCCCATCTGCTGGTTACAGCCAGACCTGCAGCTGCTTGCGTCAGCCAGATTTGGCCAGAACTTTACAGCAGTTGCTCTCTGAGAAGCTGTGGTATGAAGCGTCCCTTGCCCCCTCCGAGGATGCCCTGGAGCCCTCCTGTCCCTTCCTTCGTCCCTTGCCCAGGCCTTACTTGTAGGACAGCGTGTAGCCCACGTGGCTGTGACTGACCCTGATGAGAAAAGATCCCCATGGCTGCAACTCCAGCAAATTCTCGGCGTCCCTGGAACACACACGGGAGGGAGATGACTGAGATCCGGCTGCCGGGCGTACTGGCCGGACTCCTGCTGCCCCCGTCATCCCGGGACTGAACAAAAATCATTTTTTCTTCTCGGTTGTTTCAGACCTTGGGAGATTCAGGGGCAGGGGTGTTCCCAGTTGTGGCGGAAGGCCTCTGATGGCCTTGACCCCAGTCTGGACTTTCTCCCGCCTTCCCAATGCCTAAAATACCCCCCACGAAGGCATCTTTGGGTGGGCCAAGTTATCACAGGTAACAGTGCCTGTTCCCAGATGCGTTTGAATTCAGACCCCGGCTCTGCTGATCATTAGCTGTGTGACACCTGGCAAGGGTCAGTCCCTGTCTGACCTTCAGCTTCCTCAATGGGAAAGTCGACCCTTACTCGCAGGACCGATGGGAGAGCAGATCAAATGCGTGGAACACGTGCGAGGCAAATGCTCACCAAATGCTCACTGTGATTATTACTATTATTCACTATCATTATTACTCCTATTATCTGGGGGATCAAGACAGATCTGGGGGCCACAGACAGCAAGGTGGCCTTCTATGGGGCAAGATGGGGAGCCTACAGACCCGAGCTCTCTAATGAGGACTACGTATAGCCATTGAGCCCTTGAAATGTGGCTGGTCTGAATCAAGATGTGCTTTCGGCGTAAGACACCAGATTTTGAAGACTTAGTACAAAATAAAGGAATGTATACTAAATCATACAGGAGTTCTTAGTACTCCCACTGAAATGATACCGGGTGGAATAAAATAGGATTAAAATTAATTCCACCTGTTTCTTTTTACCTCTTTAACAGAGCTACTAAAAACTTTAAAACTGCAACATGTGGCTCACATTGTATTCTCACTGGCGCACCCCAGAACCCGGAGACCAAGCCAAGTTCATCCTCTCTGTGGCTTTCCCAACCTTCTCTCAACTTCCCACGTGCCAAGGGGGGGCCGTAAATGTTCTTTCCTCCGTTCATTTGGAACCAAGCGGGTGACTAATGGGGCGAGCTTGTTCCTGTGCTCAGAACTCAGTCCAGCGTGGAAAGTCCAGAACTCTGCCCAAGGTGAATGTGTTGCTTACGTCCTGCGCTGAGGGGGAGCAGCTGTTGGGGGGCCCTGTGTTAACAAGGGTTCCGAGGCTGCATCCTGCCAGTGCTGATGGGCGGCGCCTGGCCTTGGGGGAGGGGTGCCTGGCACCACCGGTGTGGTGGCCACTTGCAGAGAGAAAGCTGAGGTCCCAAGATGGGAAGTAACGTGCCCGGGTCACACAGCGAGTCCCCCGGAAGAGGCAGGATTCAAGCCTCAAGGGGGTTCGGAGCTCTTTTTTTTTACTCTCTTAATGCACCGAGGCAGGCTGAGCCCAGAATTCTGCAGAAAACCCGCCCGGACAAGGAAAGAGGGTGAAGGGAAGGGCGGAAGGGGTGGGCGCGTCCTCACTCTCTCGAGATGGCCCCGTGGAACCACGCGGGGACCCCTCCGCGGGCCAGCTGGCCCGCCTGCGTCTGCACGAACCAGTCCAGCCGTGGGGGCAACGGCGGGGGCAGCTTTCCGGCCTCTGTCATGTTTCCCTGGCGCGTGGTTACCTGGCATCAGGAGAGAGGAGGGTGAGTCAAGCCTGGTCCACCCCCATGCTTTGCTCTATTCTTACAGTTCGTGGTGCCTCCTCCTTTGACAAGCCCCCCAGCTGGCCGGAGCAGGGCGCTGGACACTGGCTTGTGCTTCTTGAGCACTGACCATGCGCGGGCACCTTGCGCACATCCATCCGTCGACGCCTGCCCCAAATCCTCCTTGCCCTTTTATTTGTATTGCGCCATCGCTACAAGCGTTAGAAAGCTCCCTTTGTAAATATATGTGCTGAAGCTTAAGAACCGACTTTATTTAAGTAAATATCAGTGTCCCTGGAGGGATGTGGACCTGGAAAAACGGCAAGTGAATAAATACTAAAAAGACGTGGCCCCAAGTAGTTCCTGCTGCCACCAAGATCGCCGCGTGTGGTGACCACCGACGGCGCACCTGTAACGCGTCTGGCACATCATTAGTTCACGAGTTCTTGACAGTGTGAAGCTCAAGGTAACGCCGGACCTTGCGAGCCAATGACAAGGAGCTGAAGAAGACCAACATTTACGGGTTTACAAAGGAGTATCCAGTCCATGCAAACCAGCAGTGGGATCATGCCCTGCGGGTTGTCTGCTCATGACCCTTCACGCTCACCCTTAATCGCACCCCTGACCTGGCCCACCCTCCTACACTGGCCCCACCTAATGTCTTGATATGGCAGAAAGTCACTGTTACTGGGCTGTGTCCAGAGGGTGGGGACATTTTGACTAGTTCAGTCAATATTGACTTTCTTCCACGTGAAGACAGATACTGTGACTGCCCTCTGAGAAGGGGGGGGGGCAAAGAATTCTGGGACAAGTAAAATTAAAGAGATCTATTTAAAAAAACACTTAATAGCAGTGCCTGGGCAGCTCAGTCGGTTAAGTGTCCGACTTGGGCTCAGATCATGATCTTATAGTTCATGGGTTCGAACCCCATGTCGGGCTCTGTGCTGGCAGCTCAGAGCCTGGAGGCTGCTTTGGATTCTGTGTCTCCCTCTCTCTCTGTCCCTCCCCTGCTCATGCTCTGTCTGTCAAAAATAAACAAACATTAAAAAAAGAAAAAAAAGAAAAACATTTAATAAAGCAGGGTGACAAAGCATTTCAGAACCTGGAATCAGAGCCAGATAGCCTGGGCTCAAGCCCCAGCTCCCCCAACTTAGCTGCTGTGTGACCTTGGGCAGGTCACTTAACATCTCTCTGCCTTTATTTTCATCTGTAGCTTGGGGATAATATTTAGCTGGGAAAGTACAGGTGGCACACAACTAAGCACTGGGTGTATATAATAAATATTCATGAATCCAGTAGTGACTGGCATGGGGTTATGTATATAGGTTTGTTCTTTTCTCTACCTGGGAGAACCCCTACTTATCCTTTAAGACCCAGCCAAAATAGCCCCTCCTCCAGGCAGCTTTCCTGTCTCTTCTCTTAGACAAAGCCTTGCACCTTTCTCTGTCTCCCACCTTCTCTGTTCCTGCCTAAGCTTTGCCTCCTGGAGCTCAAGTGGCTGTGCTCAGTGGAAGCCTTAACAGTTGGCTTTTCTTTCTCTAATGCAAATGCCTGACTTAAGCCTTGACTGCCAAGTCATCCACTTTAACTTTTTCTATCTGGAATAAACACATTGCGAGCCTTAGAATTAGATAAAGAGCCAGGATGCTCCCCCCTCTCCGACTTCCTCCCACCCCCCTACTTTCCCACCATGAGGCTCCTTTACTTTAGATAGAGAACCTAGTTGATTTTGGTAACTGGCCATTTGGGTCGCTCCCCCCTCCCCTTTTTTTTTGCTTTCCTTCTTTCTTTTTCTCTTCCCATGATTTAAATTCCTGCTTTTATGTTTTAAATTCACCAACAGGGAGGGAACCCCCCCAAAACCCTCAGCCCCAATAAAAGCAGAACTCCAGGCTCATGCGTGCTGGCTTTCTGTCTATCGACAACCTGGCTGTGTGCCCCCTGGCGTGCCTTGTACGGGGCTGGTAAGCAATAGATTTTCTTTCTTCCAAGTTCCCAGAGGGTCACCATTGACGGGCATCTTGCAGTCATAACCACAGGGGTCGGGTCAGCTGTAGTTGGTTTGGCGAGGGGAGACATGTATGGGGAGCTCACGGGGCCTAGGGGAGCGCCCCCAGGCTGAGACTTGCACGAAGCATTGTGTCTGGCTCTGTCTCCCCCATATCGAGGGCCCCTAGGGACTGGGCTCAGGGCTGGGTTCTTTCAGATTTTTCTGGGTCCCCTGCACTACCTGGCACTGGGCAGGGGCAGTGAGGGTGCAGGGTGTTTGCTGATGAATAACTGTCTAGGGTTGAATGAATCTGGACTAAGTCTCAAGCTCCTGACCCTGGCACTGGGCCTCCCCCGTCTCCTGGCCCCCCTGTATTACAGCAGGGACATCCTTGCGCTACTCAAAACTGACCCCGCTCTCTGCCACGCCTTCGCCTATGCTGTTCTCCTGCCAGGAACACCCCTTTCTCCGGCTCCGGCTCCAGTCTTCAATGGAAATTGAAAATTCCTCCTGCACTTCTGCTCTCTGCCAGCCCCGTCCCCTCTTCTGGCCCCACCTGGGCTCCGTGCTCTGTCTTCTAGAGTTCTGGGATGGGGCTGAGGCTCTCGGGGGCCCGAGCTTGCCTGGCATGGGGCAGGCACAGAAGGGGGCATGTGGCTGGCTGAGGGACCCCCGCCCGGGCACATACCTGGAGGCCCCTGGGCAGCGGAGGCTCCCACTCCTGCTGTGCGGGGACCTTCAGTAAACTTGGTTTCGGTTCAGGGTCTGCACGTCAGCAGGGGTGGGGCTGCGGCCCCCAGGCTGTTCCTGTTTCCTTAAGTAGGTGAGCCCCAGGGGCGGGACCCAAGGATCCTGGTTGCCTGTGGTCCATGGTCAGGGTCAGACGCAGCTGCTGAGCTGCAGGTGGAGGGAAGCCCTTGCTCCACAGGAGACGGAGAGGAGACTTAGTTGAGTACCTACTGTGTGCCAGATCCTCAGGGGGCAGAGAGGTGACCCGGGAGGTGCAAGCACCACCCTCCTGGCTTGTGAATCTAGCTAAGTCTCAGAGCAGACAGCCCCGCAGGCAGGAGGGATGGGAGTGGCAAGGCACTCAGAGGGGGCGTAAGGGATCTGGAGGAAGAGGGACTTGGGGGCAGACAGGCGGGCGCTCACTTGATTGGGAGGTGCGAAAGGAGGGGGCGCTAGGGGGAGCCCCCGGGGCAGCGTCCAGGCAGGCTGGGGCCTCCCCGCACGCCTGGGGCCACATTGTGACTCCCTCTGTAACAAAACCAATGATATTTGGTATAAATAAAAATGATACTTTATGGCCGCGCCGCCACCGAGATCCCTGGAGTCCAGGCTGGGATCGTTATTATACATTCATTGTTATTGTATTCATTTTTTCCTTCTGATTTTAAAACCCTGACTCATCGTGGGGAGCCCTGCGCACAGCGTGTGGGGCCTGCGAGGAGGAACTGGCAGCTGATGTCAGGCAGCCCCGGATGTGTGCCGTGCCGGCTGCATCCCCATCCCCAGCACATGGGCCAAACCACTTCCTTCTCCCCTTTCGGGCAGCAAGGGGCTGAGCTGGGGGCTTCCTGTCAGGCCTATCGCACTGGACCAGGTGGTCCAGATAGTCCCAGGCTCAAGGTCAGTGGCCTCAGCACCCCCTACCCGAGGGGAGGGGGACAGCCATGTCTGGAGTCAGCGGGTCAGCAAAGCTGGAGCAGCAGCCTCCTGGGGCCCGGCTCCTTACTCACCCACCGTGTGAGTAAGCCTTGCGTGTAGCCTTGGGTGACTCGCTCAACCTCTCTGGGCCTCAGCTGCTTTAACCGTGAAGTGGGCACAATGGCCCTCCTTCGTCACGTGGCAATGGCAGGAGCGACAATCGTCAAGCACGCGGCATGGGGCTCGGTTAAGTGTAAAAGCAGGGTTCTTTGCCGTGACCTCATCTGCTGCCTCTGTGCCGGGCTGGGGAGATGCAGGCTCGGGCCGGGACTTCTCAGGCTGGGCCACCTGGGGCCACTCACGTCGCCTCCGTGCCTGCCACTGCCCGGTGGGTCAGCTACCGGCCCTAAGGAGGAGCAAAGCCCGGCCGTGGGGTTCTCATTTGCATGAAGTTCAGTCTCCAGAAAGGTAGGGGATCTCAGCCCACGACCTGCTTGGGGCAAGTGGTCTTAAACAAACTAAAGGCCTCCTGAGAACGTCACAGTGGAATCAACCCCCAGCCCTTGGTGACCACAGTCCTCAAAACTGTGAACGGGCAGGGCAGGTGGCCCCTAGAGGGACTTCCAGGAAAGGACCAGCCAGGAGATATGGGGCTGGGGCCCCAAGGCCCCTTCCCCTGTGTGTCAGATTCTGGGCTTTTCACCAGAGGCTACAGCTGGTGAGAAGGACTCTGGTGGCCCCATGTGGGGTGGCTCTCTGGGTAAGGATCACAGTGCCTCCTCAGCCCTGGGGACGGGCAGGGGTGGGACAGCCAGGCTCTGCCGATACTGAGGGTTTTCAACCGTTTTATTCGTCCTACAATGCTTTCATTCTGTTTGTCAATTCATTCTCTCCACAAACACTGGCTGAGCCCCAACTGTGGGCATCATGCTAGATGTGAAGGATGGAGAAGACAAGACAGGCACTGTGCCGGCCCTGCTGGAGCCCACAGTCCATGGGGAGGTGGTTGTTGCGCATGTCTGCATGCAGGCAAGGCTTGCACCAGTGGGAACAGCAAGGGCAAAGGCCCTGTGGTAGGAAGAAACCCAGCATGCCTGCGGAACAGATGATAGCTGACGGGTCCAAAGGGCGGACATAACCGAACGTCCATCGGCGGATGAAGAGATTTAAAAAATGTGGTCCATCCTTTCAATGGATTATTATCCAGCCATGCAAAGCTGACTTCATGGATGCTCTATGATGGATCTAGAGAACTATGCTGACCATTGCCAGCAGGCTGGAGGAGGGGGTCTGGAGAGTGACAGCCCATGGGGACCGGGCAAGGAGAATGTTCTAAAAGGGACCATGGTGACGGGTGCACATTTCTGTGAATACACTGAAAGCCACTGAGTTGCACTTTGGTGGGTGGACGGTTTGGGGTGTGGATTAGATCTCAATAAAGCTGTTATTAAAAAAAAAAAAAAAGTTGAGGGGTCATCTCTCCCTGCCTGGCACTGCATCAGAGCTCCTCTCTGAGCAGAAGGCCGGGTCTAGGGTAGACAGAGGCTCCGGGACCCCGGCCTGACTTGCTTGGAGGCAGCAGGTGCAGAGCTGGCGCATCCTGAGGTTGAACACTTACAGCTCAGAGCCGCGAGCTATTTATGGGACTTGGGTCCCGCTAAGAGGCAAGATGCGAAAAAGAGAAGTGGGTTCGCTCTTGGGGAACAAGACAAAGAACGACGCTAATAATAACGATGATGAGCGCGGTGTTGACAGCAGCTGATCTCACAGGGCTTATGTGTCTGTCCCAGACTGAGATGCACCAGCCTCCTGGCCCTCTGTCGCCGTCCTCGGGGCTGGGGGACCACCATCATGCCCATTTGACAGTTGGAGGGACTGAACTGAACAGCTCAGCCCAGGGCTGTGCTGGGGATAGGAAAGGGGCTTGGCAAAATGGGTGCCAGTAGGGAACGAGAGAGGCTTAGGGGCACGGGGGGGTCTGATGCGGAGCAAGCAGGTAGAAACGGGGAATGCGGCGATCCCAAGTGGCGCTGGCCTTCATATGCCTGTTTCTCTGCGGCGTGGGGGCAGGGCTGGGGGTCAGGAAGCTCATATTCCCAAGTCAGTCTTCTGGTCACGGTATCGCCTCCTCAGAGCTTGGGGTAACCTGCCACCCCTATGTGAGTCTTGTTTACACCTGGGGTATGAACGAACCTGGCACACTGGAGGTGCTGACGAGACCAGAAGCATGCAAAAGGTGGAGAGGGTCCAGGGCACCTGGGCGGCTCAGTCAGTTAAGCGGCCGACTTCGGCTCAGGTCATGATCTCATGGTTCATGGGTTCGAGCCCTGCGTCGGGCTCTGTGCTGACAGCTCAGAGCCTGGAGCCTGTTTCAGATTCTGTGTCTTCCTCTCTCTGACCCTTTCCCCTGCTCATGCTCTCTCTCTCAGAAAAAAAAAAAAAAAGGTGGAGAGGGTCCAGAGGCCCCTGCCAGCCTCGCCTGGATTTTAAAAACTTTAAGTTTAGTTATTGATTTTGAGAGAGAGCACGCGCAGGGGAGAGGCAGAGAGAGAGGGAGAGTGAGAATCCCAAGCCGGCTCCGTGCCATCAGTGCAGGGCCTGATCTGGGGCTCAGTCTCACAAAGGTGAGACCTGAGCCAAGGTGAAGAGTTGGGCGGTTAACTGCATGAGCCACCCAGGCGCCCCCAGCCTGGAGTTTACATAACGGGCAGCCTGAGGACCCTGGACCCAACACCTGGCCACATGTGTGTATCCACAGGGAACGTGCGGACATTAAAAATCCGTTAACGCAAATCCAGTCCAATCTATACTTTTATGGATGAAATTAAAACTGAGAACTAAGATAAGCTGTAAAAAAAAATCCGTTAACTTTAAAATGAGCTTTAATTTGTTTGTTTTCCTTAAGTGCATTTATCGATGTAAACAGAGCATGTTAAGAGACTTCAGGGGAGAGCGACTATTGCTGGTATGTTGGTTTTAATTCAAAAAAGAAGAAACTACAATGCCAATGGCCTGGACTTGGGGCAGGGGCGGGGGTGGGGGTTATAGAAAAGACAAGGGCTCCCTGGTGGCACCTCTCCGACCCGGCCCCCTGGCCCGCCTGCAGTCTCTACAGGAAGGCAGAGCTGTCACATCGGAACCTGGTGGCGGCACTGGAAACCGGCTCAGACTGCTCTGCGATCAGTCTGCGCCTCGCACCCCGGCCTGCGGCCAGCGCCGCCTCACACTCGCGGCCACGACTGGCCAGAGGTGCGCACGAGCCCCCAGGCACCCGGTCTGCCGCGGGAAATCGAAGACAGAACCACTTCATGGCACTACAGATCTGGAAAAATAAAAATCTCAGCTAGAAAGAACGTCCGATTTGGAGACGGCGGGAGGGAAGGGGAGTGGGGGGCTGCCTGGGGGTCCAGAGATGGATGCCCCCGTCGCAGGTGGGGGGCGCGTGGGCGGCTGCGTTTCCGGGGGTGCCCGTGGCACGCGTGGGTCCCCTCGGCGCTCAGGCGGGGGGGCCAGGAGGCCCACGGGGCAGCCCCAGGCCTCGGCCGACTACAGACTCGCAGCACCTGCCAGTGCAACGGGAAGGGCCACCCCAGGCTTCTTTCCTCAGGATTTCCGTAATTGTGCTTCCCTTTGGTCTGGCTGACAGCTAAGAAGAGAAAGGGGGGGAAGAGAATGGCTTTTGTCACTTGTCCAAAACTGACAGAAGAGGAGACAGTCGGCGTCAGACGTGCCCAGAACTCGGGCTCCCGTGGTGGGGCCGGGGACGGGCTCTGCGGCGGGGCCTGGGTCGTGTGGCGGTGAGGCCTGGAGACGGAGGCCCGCCGTGGTGGCTGATGTCGGTGGTCACGTCTCAGCTCCATCCTTCGCTCTGGCCACGCGGTGGGAGGGCCCATTCAGCAGACAAGAAAAATAGCAGATTCTTAACTTATTCCATCTCCAGACTTGAAAAAGATCAGACAGTTGCTAAAATCAACAATTTCTCAACTGTGTCTGGTGGCCACGGGCCCGGTGGCCGCGGCGCGGCAGGGAGTGTTGGAGGGGGCGGGCCCCGGCCGAGCAAGGGGCCCACTCAGGACAGGCACAGTCAGCTGAGCGGAGCGAGGCCCGGAGTAAGGCAGTGCTCCTCACAGAAGAACGCATCGGAAAAAGCTGCTCCTCCGCTGCGGGTCCGGGGTGATTTTGACCCCCTGGCTGCTCCCTTGGGGACTGTTGCCTTCCTGAAATTGCAAAGGGTTTTGTGAGGTCATAACCAGGCATCAGCACGATGTCACTTAACCAACTGGCCAACTGAGCCATGAACCACCCACCCACCCACCCACCCATCCCTTCCCTCTGCCACCTTCCAACCATCCATTCGTCCAATCGTCCCTTCCAGCCCTCAGCTCACTTTTTACAAACCCCAGATCTGCTACGTTCTTCCCCTTTCCAGCCACACTCATTCTCTCAATCGTTTAGTCGCCTGCCCATCCCCCTCCCATTCATCTCCTCCACATCTTTCCCAGTTGCCAACCCATCTCATCCTCCTTTCCCTCCTTCTTTCTACCCATCTGTCCATCTGTGCTCAGCCCCTCCCAGTGAGGCGGCCCAGGGGCAGCAGAAAGACGACTCCTGGGATCGAGGGGAGGCTGGGTTCAAGGTCGCAGGCCATTCTCCCCAATGCCACTCACAGGACTCTCCGTATCCATGTGCCAAGGCTTGGACTCCCCCCTCTCCCTTTGTCCACCTCCTGCCCCGTGGCTGATAAGCATCTGGTTAGGCCCTGGTTAAGCCCTGGCCATAAGCCCTAAATGCTAATCTCATCTGCTCACCCCATACTGAAACCATCCACACGCCCCACGTTTGAGGAGTGGCCTAAATCCGGCACTTGAAGCCTCTGGGAGCTGCCCGGCCTACCCTGGGAACTCCGACCCTACTTTCCCCCATTCTACTGTTTGCGTCGTTTGCTCTCCTTTTGACTAGTTTCTTCTCGCCTTTCTGTTCTTAGGGAACACCTGAATTTTTATTCAAGCAACTATCAAACACTTATGTGGGGCCAGGCACTTTTGTGGGCGCTGGGCAGGCAGGGGTGGGCAGGACGGAAGTGCCGCCGTGCAGGGCAGACACAGCGCACGGCTGAACACACGAGCGGTGACTTTCGTAGCAGCGAGTAATGAGACCAAACAGGCAAAGGGGGGAGAGCGTTTGGATGCTGATGCTGGAGCAGAGACCGCATGGAAGCGAGGCCGGGGACGGTCCAGGGGCCGCGGTCCACGCCCTCGTCCCTGGAACCTGCACATGGCAGGCGGCGCGGGCCACGCAGGCGGGCCCCAGCTAACCCCGGGACTCCTTAAAAGCAGAGACACTGCCCAGCTGCAGTCGAGGAAGCGCGGGGACAGAGGGAGCAGCAAGCAGGGTCAGAGAGACGTGCCGAGGGGCTAGAGGAGGGGCTCACAAGGCAAGGAATGCGGTGGTGGCTTCTAGAAGCTGGACAAGGCAAGGAGCCGGCTTCTCCCTGTTGGGAGGGCACCCGAGGACACCTTGGTCTGGGTCCAGTGAGACCCGTTTCAGGCCTGTGGCCTCCAGGACTTACACACGTGGGTGTTTGTGAAGCTGCTATACTTGTTCTGGGGTTCGTGCTGGCAGCCCCAGGACACAGACGTGCAAGGGGGGGGGTGACCCGGGCAGAGGGGAAAGTCCAAAGGAACGGGGGTCGTTCGAGGAGCAAGGAATAAGGCTCGTGTGGCTGGAGTGGACGGCAGGGCAGCAGCAGGATGACGAGGGGGAGAGGGTGGCAGTGCCGGACGGGGTGTGGGCGTGGAGTTCGCTCTCAGTGGTGAGGGGCGCAGGGGGGTGTGGGGTGGGAGAGTGCCAGCGGCTGGGAGGGTGGGTGCTGGCGGAGCCTGGGCTCCTGACGCTCTCAGGAGGGGAGGCAGCGGGGGGCAGAGCTGGCAGTCTTGAACTAGCAGCTAAATAGTCGAACTAGTAGGTAAATAGTTCTGGAGAGCTCATGCACCGCACAGCGATTACAGCCACCCCAATCCTGGCTCATAAACACCAGAGTTGCTAAGAGACCGGATCTTAATTGTTCTCAACACAAACAAGAAATGATCAGTATGTGAGTATGTGAGAAATACAGGCATTAGCTGTAAACGTTTTAAAACCGATATACATATGCCTCAAATTCACACAATGTTCAATGCCAGTTGTATTTCAATTAAAGAGACAGGTATGGAGCGGTAGGAGGCTGCGGCTCTGAACAGGAACAAAGGTGAAAGGGAATGAGAAAGAATTTAACTGATCAGTTCAGAAAAAGAGAGGTCGCAAGGGCGGTGGGTGCACAGCCGCGCTGCACGACCTTGGACGGATGCGGCACAGTCTGGGGCAATCGACGGGCCGATACCGAAAGCACAGGCTAAGGAAAGTCAGCAAGATGCTTCGCATGACTGCCAGTGCGCAGGTGTCAGAAGGAGCATCTAGAACCAAACTCTGGCCACCACACTGCAGGGAAACAGGACTACAGGAACTACATGCTGCCGCCGGGCACCATGTTTGTGGCACGGACGGTGTCCTGTTTTGACTAAAGGGCTGCTACTAAATGGGTCACATCCCTTGTGCTTCAATTCTCAGCATCTTAGAATTTTTTTTTTTTAATTTATTTCTGAGAGAGAGAGAGAGAGACAGCGTGAGCAGGGGAGGGTCAGAGAAAGAGGGAGATACAGAATCTGAAGCAGGCGCCAGGCTCTGAGCTGTCAGCACAGAGCCCGACGTGGGGGTTGAACTCACGGACCGCGAGATCATGACCTGAGCAAAAGTCAGACACTTCACCGACTGAGCCACCCGGGTGCCCCTCAGCATCTTAGAATTCTGGAGGCAGGTTTTCAATCAGACGTGAACGACCCGGGAGACATTTTGCGTCCTGTGTGCACTCTCGTCCGACCAGGCGTAACGTGAGCAACGGATAGCTCATCTCACGCTCTTGTATCAGACGACGAGGGAGTCACTGGCCGGGAGGACAGTGGCCACTGGAATGGAGGCTCCGGGGCAAGACTGTAGCAGTGCTTAGCTGCTAAGCACGCCCAAAGTAAACTCGAGGGTGCAGGCCCGGCCAGAGAAAGTGGCGGTTGTACCGAGTGCCTGGGACCACGAGACAAAACAGCCGAGCAACAGATGAGAGGGTAGATGCAGAGAGACCAGGCAGGGCCTCTCAGAGGCCCCAGGGCCCTGGGACCCACTAAAGGGCACAGAGCTGTCGCAACCAGCAGAATGGGGGTGGACTGTGGCTCGGGCCTGCCTGGGGCTTTTCTGCAGGAGGCTCTCTCCCCTCACACACGCCCTCTCCCCGGCGGGACGGCCAGGGCCGCATGGCCGCTGCCAGCACCTGCCCCGAGCAGCGGACGGGGCAGGGCAGAGCGCCCGGTGCGGATGCCCAAACCACTCCTGCCAACTCTACTCTTGCCCCTTTCCCAGGGATGCTCAGCTGGGTGCGGCCGGGCCCCGAAGAGCCGGGTCTAGCCGCGGAGGCATCACAGCCCTGAGCCCAAGGAGGGCCGGCTCTGGCAGGGACCCACCCGAGGACTCATAAAGGACGTACACTCACCAATTTTTTGTCCATTTTTGCTTTGATGTCTCTGGCGAGAGTGAAGAAGGCCTGTGGAATAAGCATGACATCAGCGCCCCGGAGCAGGAAGTAGGGGCTCGCTGGCTCTGGGCCACCCCGCATAGGGGACACAGTGGGGCAGGGAGGGGAGCTGCATCAGGGCGGTTTCCCAGGTGGGCCTCACCTGTCCAGCCCCATCTCCTGCCACCACTGGGCTGCTCCTGCCAACCTGGACCACTTCCCCTGAGCCAATGACCTGGGAAGCGTGGTCCCCCTTAACTGGACAGAGAGGAAACTGAGGTTCAGAGGGGTCAAGGGACTCGTCTGAAGGCGCCCAGTGCCTGGCTGACAGAGCCGGCGGGATCCAGAAGGAGGGCCCAGTGGCCCATCCCTGCCTCCTGTGCTCTGCCCGCTTTTGCCCGCACTTGTGAAGGTTAGGGGCAGAGAGAACCGAGCCATTCTCAGCCAAACAGGCTTCATCTGAGGTCCCTGCCAGCAGGGAGGCCTGCAAGGGCCACTACCAGGTAAAGGTTTGCCCCCCCCCACCACCTGGCGAAGCCTTGAGCTGACCGCTCCAGGTCGGGAGGCAGAGTCTCCACATGGCGTGGAATATTCTGTGGTGAAGGGTGGCCTGGGTGCTGGGGAAGCCCAATGTGGTGGGCGTACAGGTCTGGGGGACACCGAAGGCTTCCCCGGGGAGGGGCCACTTGAGCCGAGCCCCAAGGGGACAGGGGGTACAAGGAGGGTGTGGCACGGACAGCCTGGGATGGAAAGCTGTGGGCAGGGCCCAGGCTGCGGGGGCACACACCAGCCGGGGCTGGTGACGGAGGGCCTCTATGCCAGGTGACTTGGGCTGAGGTCAGGAGTGGTGTGGAAGATCCCCTTTGGAAAGACCACTGGGGCCGTGGGACGGGGGTCGGCTGGCACCCCATGGAGAAGAGCGGGTGGCCCAGGCTGAGGCCAGCCGGGGCCCCTACTCCATCTGGGCCTGTGACTGGGGCCGGCCTGTGAGGGTGGCATGGCTAAGAGCGCCCGCAGGAGCCGGGCCTGGGCCCCAGCCGGCTGGGACTCTCCTGCTCCCCAGGGCTGCCCGAGAACCACTGACATAACAGCCTTGGTGCCCAGCCAGGGCCTGCGCCTGCTGACGTCAGAACGTGGCGGCGACCCCCTCAAGGGGCCAGGCACACTGCTGGGGAAGTGCCCCTAGGCCAGCCGAACGCTGAGGCAGCCTGGGGCCTGAGGTGGGTCCCTCTGGTAGAGCCTCCCCAGAGACTGCACCTTGTCCCTCAGCCCAGGGGGCCCAGGACTCACATTCTCCACGTTGATGTTGGCCTTCGCACTGGTCTCCATGAACTTGATTCCATAATCCAGGGCGAGCTGTGAGGAAGGGAGACACACACGTGCATGTTAGCCACCAGGTGCCCTTAAGCCCCACACGCCCCCGAACCGGGAGCAGTGCAGGGGCGGGAGTGGGGGCGGGAGGGTCTCAGGCCATGGACCTAACCTCCTGGGCTGCTCCCCCAAGTCCCCAGAGGAGGGCAGGTGGTGAGCGTCCCTGGCAACGGGGTGGAGGGGGCCTGGCTCAAACCACAGCTCTCTCCTCTGCTTCCTGTGGCCTCGACAGGTTCCAACCCGACGTCGTAGGGGATCACGCATCGCGCCCCCCAGAAGCCCTCGCGCTTGCTCTTTATATGGAGGCCCACTGGGGTGCGGGGTGCTTTCCACTCTCCCTTTGCCCTGAGTCCCAGACCCTCAGTCTCGTACAGGCCGGGAGGGTGGGTCATCATGTGCTTGTAAAGACCGTGAGGGACTCTCCCCCAGAGCCCACTCGGCCAGTGGCAGTCGGGGACGCTCTGGGGCGAAGACCCTGAGGCCCCTGTGCCCCGAGGTGCCCGGCCCAGGCTGGTGGCCACGCCCACCTTCTCTCCCCGTTCCTTGGATACTTGTCTCTTGTCGTTCACGTCACACTTGTTTCCGAGGATCATCTTTTCGACATCTGCAGAGGCGTGCTGAAGGGGGGGCAGAGAGGGAAGGGGAGAGGTCAGAGGGGCTGCTGGCCAACATGCAGCCTGTGCCCTGAAATCCCGGTGCTGGCCCAAGACCGCTGACACACCCTCGCACAGGCGACCAGCTGCAGCTCAGAGAGGCTGAGCGGCCTGTCCCATGTCACACAGCCAATACCAGGGCAGAGCCCAGGTTCCGGCCACTGCTCTGACCAAGCACACGCACTCCGGCTGCTGAGACCGCCTCCCCATGGGCTGTGTCACCCAGGCCCTGAGGCCATCCTCGGGCTCCTGGCAGGGTCTGGCCTATGAGGCAAGCGAGTTTGGGATATTTGCCCCGCTTGCCTCCCACTCTCCCTGGCTCTTCCTCTGGAGGCTCTGGCTGCCGTCCCCGGGACCTCCCGCCACCCCCTGGCTTGCCGTCCCCAGGACCTCCCACCGCCTCCCGGCTCACCATCCCCGGGACCTCCTGCCGCCCCCCAGCTCGCCGTCCCCGAGACCTCCCGCTGCACCTTGGCTTGCTCTGTTGGGGCTATAGAAGCAGGCAGCACCTGGGGTGGCAATGGCCCCTCACCACGGCCAGCCCAGGGGGCTTCCCCCATCCCCCAGCCCCATGTGGCACCCCTACAGCTGCCCTCAAGCCAGAACAGGGCTCCTCCATCAACCCCTCCCGCGCTTCCTGAAGGACCAGGATATGGACGGGGACCCCCTTCCTGGAGCTCGGATCAGATCCCGTGAAACACCCTGCTCTGCTCCCTAACTTCCTGTTAACTGCAAGGCCCTCACGCCCACTACCCAGAAACACAGAGTTTCCACAAGGATGGACGGGGCGGTTCCTTGTCCCCAGCCTGGGCACGGGCTCCGGCCAGCAGGCGCGGGCCTGTCAGGATGGCGGCCTGGTGCCACTGCTCACAGATGTCAGCAGTGCCGTGACCTTTGGCCGAGGCTTTATGGACGGGTGAAGTCCTCTGGCTGCACTCCAGACCTGAAGCCCCACCTGGTGAATCATCAAGAGCTGCAAGTGCCGTTGTCCAAGAAGGCTTTGGGGGTGGGAGCGAGCTGTCGGGGAGCCGGAAGGCGAGGACGACAGTGTGGGGATGGGCAGGTGGGCTAAGTGCCTTCTCTTCCCTCCTGGGTTCAAGGTCTGCTTTCCCAGCTAAAAGGTGAAGAGCTGCTGGCCTGAACTCGGGTGGCGCGAACCAGCTCCCACCCTGCTCTGCTGAAGCTCAGAGAACACGCTGGAGTCCACACCCACCAAATGCATGGGTCATGCCTATCCCAGAACTTTCCTTGTCTAGAAAGTACCAAATGCTCATGGTGACCAAGAGCTCAGATATCCCTTCTCTCGTAACGAATGTTGTCCAAACCTGACAGCCCCGCTGGGGAAATAAATGGGCTCTCAGGGCCACCCCATGATGGGGCGAGGCCCTTGTGTGGTCCCCATTCCGGGTTTTTACATCCTTGACTGTACGGGGCTCTTGGCAAATGACTTCTAGGGGTCTCTGTGTCTCAGTGAGCGCATCTGTCAACAGGGGAGCTCTGGAGTGGGGACTGTGGTGGGGACACGTATGAAGCGCCTGTGCACGTGAGGGGCGCAAGCCTTACCTCCTCAATATTCCGAATCCAGTTCCGGATGTTGTCAAAGGATTTCTCGTTGGTGATGTCATAGACCAGCATGATGCCCTGAGCGGAAGGGAGAAAAGCGGGTGTCCTGGACAAGTGCGAGCTGAGGGGAGGCCCCAGCACAGAGGCGTGGCTGGGACCCCAACAGGACACCCCTCCCACCAACTCCCTCCACTCTGCCCCCCCCGAGGCCTTCCTCCTGCTGGACTCCAGGACCGGCTTCTCCCTGGTCGCCCAGGCTCGAGTCCTGTCCACCCCGCCACCAAGGTGACCCTTCACCCTGCACCAGACCCCACCACACATGCTTACGGACCAGCTCGCAGGCTCCCCAGCGGCAGCACGGCACGCGTGCCCATGGCCTGGCAGCCCTGGGGCCCACAGTGCTCCCCTTCACGCACGCCCAGCTGCTGCGGCACTCGACCCCTCCATGCCCTCACTCTGCCTGCCCTGCCTGGGCACCGTGCAGCACGTACTGTGCTAGGGTCTCACTGAAGCCTCACAGGCATCACAGGGGGGTCTGGCTACCCCCTCTGCAGGCAAGGACCCGGAGGTGCGAGGACCCGGAGGTGCCAGGCCCGCCTCCCCTCCCATGAGAGAGGGGAGGGCGTAACCGGGGTCTGCACCCTGGAGGTCCTGATCCTGACACCCTCGTGCATCCCAATGACTCCACCCACGTGGGGGCCAGCTTGCAGCACGGGGCTGGGCGGCACTGAGGCCCCTGAGGTCACAGAACCCACACGTGAGCACGTGGGAGACAGCGCAGGGGGTTCGAAAGAGCTGCAGAGTGAACCCACCTCCACCTGGGCCTGTGATCATGCCATCACTGACAAGGGCAAATGTCCTTGTTTGATACGAAGCAAACTGAGGCCCACAGAAGTGCCCTTGTCTTTCCTGACGGCTCCTTGAGAAGACTCAAGGGCAGAAAAGACTGATGCTGAGGAAGCTGATCGCACCAGCTCCTGTTCGGAACTTCCCTGGGCCCTCATCCGGACCAAGCAACACAGGGCCACCTTCGAGGCGCAGGGCCCCAGCTGTCCTGCCCTGGCTGGCTTACTCCCTTCGCTCAGGCCACCCCCTCTGACGGCCCAGGCCTGTGTCCGAGATGGCTGGTGGCGGCCAAGATGGCCCTGAGGCTGCCTGAGTCTGCAGAGAACGTGGGCTGCAGGGATGTGTAATAAAACCTCACGGGAAAGGAGACCCCCTGCAATTCCAAATCCCTGCCATGACCCTGAGGAGACGTGCAGTGGCCTCGCGGCCTGCCCCAAGTATGGCCCTGGCCGGGACCCCTTCGAAATGCCATCTGGGGGGCCCCTCTTGCAGGTCTCTTGGGGAGACTGAACGGAGACCAGTTGCAGGCTAACCGGAAGGAACTGGTAGTGGCCGCGCTGTGGGCCACACCCCAGCCACAGCCAGCTTTAGTAAAAGACCCTGGCACACAGACTCCCTAAGTCAAGCATCACAGAGGCCTCTGGCCGGCAGGAAGCAAGAAACGCCACAGGGTCATGAGGCCTTTCCCCTTTATCCAGGGACTGGCCCGTCTGGTGGCCCAGGACTCTGGCCACCACCAGCAAGCTGACACCACATGCTCAAGATTCCAAGGTCCCAGATATTCACTGACCAAGCGGTGGAGCCATCAGGAAAGACAAGCACCTAGAAAACACGGGATCACCCTATTCCGGGTCCTCCCTGAAACCTCTCCCCAGGTCCCCAGGTGACCGAGTTCCTAGCCCTCACCGGGCACAGCTGCCCCAATCGGGCTGTCAGCTCACAACGGGACAACTGACATCCAATGTTCCCCAAATTTGGGACCCAAGAGTCGAGTACTCTGCAGGGAGAGGGCAGTAGCTACGATGGTGGCCGTGTTCTCTGAGCTGTCTGGTGAGGTCACCCCTGGCCACACGTGGCTCTGGGGTACCTAAAATGCAGCTGGTGCTACCGAGGGGCTGGATCATTTATTTGAATCAACTTATGCTCAAAGAGCCACATGTGGCCGCTGGCTTCATATCCGGGTTAGCAGCAATCTAGGGCTGCAAAGCCACAAGCACCCTGGCTCAGTCTAGCATCCTCGGGGGCCGGCTGAGGACGTGGGCACTGGAGACGGCCAATCAGTGTCGGCCTGTCATCTCCCCTCTGCGTGAACTGAAGCAGGGCGTGGACCCGTGCTGACCCTCAGGTCCCCCGTCTGTAAGACCGTGACGCCCATGCTTGGCTGTTAATGGCCAAGACCTGGGCCCAGCAGCTTGCACAGGAAAGGGCTCAGCGAATGGGGGCTGGAGGCGGGGGTGTGTGTGGCTATTTCAGCCCAGATGCGGAGGGGGCCTACCTGAGGCCACACGACAGAAGCTCCCCCAGGATCCCAGTTCCTTGAGGCCCCCCTGCCCTCCTCGCCAGAGCACAGCAAAGTGAGAGGAAAATTAGTAAATAAATTTTAATGAGGAGCGCTAAGGTTGCCATCCACATGATTGAGTTCCTATTATGTTTCAAAAGCTGTGCAGGAAGCTCTAACCACTTCGCGCCTCCATTCATTTCTGCTGCCCACCAGGATGTCCTCAGCCCCCACCACAGAGCCAGCACGGCCCGAGGCACAGGGCCTGCGGCAACGACCGACACACGGCCCTGCCCTCAGAGCCTGCGGTCTCGCCCTGGCCAGCGTGGGAGGCTGGGGTGTTGGCCATCTGTCCTCACGGAACAGGATGACCTACCTGCTCTCTGTCCCACTTTCCAAGTAAGGAGATGGGGCTCAGAGGGCGGCCCAGGGTGCAGGGCCAGGGGCCTGCCTTCCGCTTCCCCCGGGCCCTGGGCGCTCCCCTCTGCCCACACCTCACGTGCGCACGACCCCCTCGGAGGACGGGAAGCCAGCCCATTCGGGGGCCGCCTCCACATCCTGTTCAGGCCTGGCCTAGAGAAGGTGCTTGGGAAGTGTATGCGAGGGATGGGGGCTGAGCCCTCCCGTCATATCACCCTGCCTCTGGCCTGGGCTACAGATTCAACGGCCAGCTGCCCGGGGAAGATCTTCAAGTAGCAAATTCCAGAGAGACTGACACGGGCCCCGTGAACGCTCCTAAGTGTTGGGGCACGCCGGCTCCAATTTCACTGACCTCACCTGGGAGAACCAACTTCCTGTCTTCCCTCATTCCCGACAAATCAGCTTCCCTTGAACCCGGCCTTGTCCCTGAAGCAGCAGAGGAGGTATGTTGGGGTGGGGGCGGGGCACACAGCCTTTCCCTAAAAGCAACCTGGGACCCAGGACCCCTCGGGAAGCCCGAGCCCGGACTCCCCAGAAACATCTGGGTTCTGGTATTCAAGAGAGTGACCTTCATGTCGACTTAAAAAAAAAAAAAGAAACAAAAAGCCAGTCCGTACCATTGCGCCCCTGTAGTAGGCCGTTGTGATCGTCCGAAACCGTTCCTGACCAGCGGTGTCCCTGGAGAAGAGGAAGGGACATGAGTGTCAGCAAACATGAATGGTCATCACCGTGGGAACAATGGGCATTCAGCCGGGACGGACGCCCCACTTTCTCCCGGGTCATTTCCTACTGCGCTGTCCGGCTGAGGGGCAGCACCCTCATTCTCTCTACTCTCACATAGAAGGAAACTGACTCAGAAGTGTTAAAAACCTGCCCTGTGAGGCATAACGTCATGTCCCCCAGTGACCCCTCTTCTGCACCTGTTTCCTGGGGATTCTCCCCAGAGTTTCTGGGTCACAGAAGAGCCAAGGTGGGATGTTAGCTGTGAAAATCTAGGGCCACACGGGCACGGAAGGGGCCAGTCACATGGCTGGAGGGGTGAGGTTAACACCCTCAGCGGGGCTCAGGAAATCCCTTCATGCTTGCTGTCTTCGCAGAGGTCCTTCCTCGCCGGCGCAGGGCCACACCTGGGTGAGACACATCATGCCCAGCCCAGCTCCTGGCACAGGGGGCATTGAGTGTTGGTGTAAAGATGGCCTAACTGACTGGCGGCGGAGACAGGGCCAGCCCTGTGTCTTGTCCCTGGATTGGGGGTTCCTTTCATGCCCCCGCGAGGACTCTGCGTGGCTGGGCTGTACAGAAGCGCCTCATCTGGGGCTCAGCTGGCTTTCTGACGCCAGAGGGAGGTGACATTAGTGGTTAGGAACAGTGATTTTATCCTCCGCCGTGGCCCTAATCTAGAAAAGCGTTGACAGTTACTGACCCCATCGAGACTGCTGAGAGCAGAAGTGGGAAGAGAGGAGAAGAGGAAAGTGAAACTTCCACCAGCGGCCGCCATGTCACTTTGGACTTGGGGCGCCAGGGCTGCTGGGGAGCCACGTGGTAAAGGTGGAGATGGTTCTAGGCCTTGTCACATAGGAGGCAGCCAGAGACCAGAGACCAGAGATGGGCGGATTACCACCTGGAAGGCGTCAGGCCTCATCCAGGTTTCCACTCTGGGGTCAGATTCAGAGGTGAATACCGCGGGAGCTGAGGGGGCGCCCTGGGCTGGCAGAAACTCGGGGGAGGGAGGCGGGCTGCAGGGAAGGCGGCTTCATGGCCCCCCCTCACGACACTCTCTCACCACAGGTGCTCGCCGGGGCAGGGAGATTTCACCACCCTCTCCAATGTGACTTCTCTATTATTTCACTCGAGGCTCACAGTCTGCCGCGGGCAATGTGGCTGCGGGGTGGGGGCTCCCCTCCATCTGACCACCTGAGCTCAGCCTTCCTGGCACCTCCGAGGGGCTACAGACCTCAGTCGGTGCCAGTGACAGGGACTCAAACCTCTCCAGGTTTATGTATCGCAAGAAGACAGCCCCAGGTAAGCGGAACAGAAACGGGTCCCGCCACTGGGCCAGGCCTCAGCTTATTTTTAGTTCTGGGGTTTCAGGTCTGTGGGTGAAAGAAGTAAGGCTTGGGCTTCCCTGGGGGAGAAAAGAGGAAACGATGTCTGGCCTTCTTCAGCGAGCTGATAGTGTCAAAAGGAAATGCTAGACTGGGGCATGGGCCAGGCGTAGAAGGCACTCTCCAAGTTCAATGGAAGCAGGCCACTCGGAAGCTCAGGCCCGGTGGCGCCCACATCGGGATGCCGAGCTAACCTGGATGGCAGCCGTGGCCCCAGAAGGTGCTGACACAGACTCCAAGCCCCAGTAACGAGCAGAGCACGGTCCCCGGGGTTTCTGAGGAAGGCCTGATGTGTGTGGCTAGGCGCAAAGAGGTGGAGGCCATGGTCACAGGCAGGGCGAGAGAGAGGCACTGGCTCAAAGCACTCCCTGGGTGAAGGGGTGGAGGATGCCGAGGACTCTTACCATATCTGTAGCTTAATTCTCTTGCCATCGAGCTCTATGGTCCTAATTTTAAAGTCAATTCCTGAAACAAAAGGGAAAAAAAGGCACGTTACCATCAGCCTGCGGCCCAAGCTGCATCTGAGGTGGCCGCTGCCAGCCTGTCCGGGAGCAGCTGTCTGGTACTGGGGTTCGGGGGGGGGGTGCTCAGCGTCTGCTACCATCAATCTGGAGGCACCTGGAGAAAACTGTCTCCTCTCCTGGAAGGGGAAGCTGAGGCCGAGGGCAGATGGAGCTGCCAGGAGGGAAGCCGCAGGTGGCTCGGCTGGTGGGCGGGCCCAGGCCATTCGGGTGACAATGCCCTGCCCTCCCCCCCACCTCGGCAGCCTCTGGCCGTCGGCCTCCACAGAACCCTTCGAGGGCCAGAGCCCCACGCTTCCCGCCACCCAGCAGCAGGCCCTCCCGAGCACACGGGGCACGGGCACGGAGCCCCACAACATCGCGAGGCCTTTGCACCTGCCGGTCCTTCTCTGTGGGTGGTCCTGACCCCGCCCACCTGTCAGCCTAACCACCTTTCTCCTTTCATTTGTTTTTTTAAGTTTGTTTATTTGAGAGAGGGCATGCATGGGGGGAGGAGCAGAGAGAGGGAGAGAAAGGATCCCAAGCAGGGTCCACACTGTGGGTGCAGAGCCTGACACGGGGCTTGATCCCACAAACCTGAGTTCTTGACCTGAACTGAAACCAAGAGTCGGACGTTTAACCACTAAGCCACCACCAGACCTGCTGGGAGGTCACCTTCCAAGAAGCCTTCCTGACCCGGCCCTCACTTCCCACCCGTCAGCTGCAGTCCCCTCTCCCCAAGAGCAGGGTGACTCTCAGCCTCCTACCCCCTCAGTGCCCTCCCTGGCTTTCCTTTGTGACAACCACGTCACAAAGCTAACCTGCCAGCGTGTCCACCAACGGATGGGCCAACAGGCAAGATGTGGTCCATCTGTACCTGCCCGCCGCCCCCCCCCCGCCCCAGCCATAAAGAGGAATGAAGGCCTGATGTGCACCGCGGCAACCAAAAACACCTTCCAGAGGCTTCCTGCCACCCCCTCAGGCCCGGAATAGTGAGAAGGGTCGAGCGTACGTGCCAAGGTCCTGCCTCACCTGGTGGCTGCGCGGCACCCACAGCTCCCGTGACAGTTGCCAAAGTCCCCCAAGTGCGATCTGGACTCGGGGCTCTCACGCTTGCTCTTCCCTCTCTCGAAAGGTCGCTTCCCTCCATAACTACCTGGCTTCCCCGGCCCTTCACTGAGGCCTCTGTTCGCCGCACCTCCCCAGGCGAGCCTTCCTGACCCTCCTCACTCTCTCTCCCCTCGCTCCTCTTCCTTTTTCGGATGCAGACCCTGGACAGCGCATATGTGTGTATTTGCTCCAAGGACCTCGGAGTGAAACTTGCCCACACGAATGGCGGGCACGGACGGCACACAGCCCAACCTTGCCTTTACCTCCACAAGTTTGTTCTACGTCTCTGCCCGTGAAGCCTTGAGGCTGAGGCCTGGCTTGAGCCCTCAGAACTGATGACAGGGAGGTTAATTTCACCCCTGCCCACCTCCAGACCCATCCAGGGGACCCCAGGGGAGACCTGCCTGCACTTGAAATGTGCCCACGAGGACACAAGCCACAGCAGGGCAGGGACCCGGCCGCCTTGCTCATGGCTGTGTCTCCAGTAACTCGGCATGGCAGAGGCCGACCGCGTGTTTGCTAGAAACAGATCGCCCAGGCCCGCGCACACACCTTGGCGACAGGCCTGGTTACGTTTGTTTCCCTCTGATTCATCCCAGGCATCTTTCTCAGCTCCTGCAGCTGTGCTGGCACACAGCAGGCGCCGGGGCAAGAAGGCAGGGGCGAAAGAACTAAAAGCAATGGGGTGCCACGTGGCTTGCGAAGCACGTTCACATCCGCCGCTTGACTCCCTGAAGGAATGAGTGAGTGGGGCCCCGAGGAAGCAGTGGAAGCGGAGCCAGGCTGGGAAGAACCAATTCCAGGAGCCGCGGGGGCCAAGTTCGCGCTGCAAACGATCGATGCAAGCTTGCAAGAACAGGCTTTGGCAAAATGAAAGCGGGGCAGGAAACGAACAGCCACTTAATCCCTGATCTATAAAGAAAACCCGGGGGGATGCTCCGTGCCAGGAGAGAATCACCTTTACACGTTCGGTTCTATTTCAGGACTAAGCGGCCCGCTGCAATTCCTTCCTAAAACATCCCTATGTCCTATCACAGATCCACAGGGACGTATAAAATCAAGACGCACTGTTTGATGGGCAAAGCTCCACAGCATCACTCTGTCCTGAACTCTTCTTGGGTTTCACTAACACACCAGATTTAATTAGGAAGCGTTAAATTTTACAAGGCTAAGAATTATAAGGCCATTACTTCAAGTTCAGGATGAATGAGATTTTCTCAGAAGACAGAGGCCTGCAGGAAAACTACAAATGTAAGGAGAATACTGAGACGGGAGGGAAGGATTCTGGGTTTAAGTGCCACCTGTATACCTCCCTAGATGACCTTAGATGACCTTGCCCAAGTCATGTCTTTGTCTGGAGGTGGAGGCCGGCTTCCTTGGAGCCCTAAAGAGCTAGACTGAGTTTTCTGGAGGAGAATTAGAAACCACACAGAAAGGCCTAATCTCTGAGTTGATCTCACTGGTGCTTGTGCTGAACAGGAAGTTTCTGACACTGGGAAACTGAGGTCTGGGTTGAAAGCAAGCCACAGCCTGCCAGGAGCCAACATCGCTTCCTGATTCGTGGAGATGCAAGAGTTATGCCAGCGTTTGACCTTGGAGTGGTGGAGGGGGAGGAATGTGAAACCTCTGGATCCAGAGATGAGATGCTATCGTTGCAGGAGCCATTCTGCTTGCTCCAGACTGTCTCTGGCCAGGATAACAACCTCTCCTTCATTTATGATCTTCAACCGTCCAGGGCACTGGCCAAGGCGGAGAGCAATACTCCTGACCTGAAGAAACAGGGCTCAGAGTCTAAGTGCTCGTTCAAGGCCACACAGCAGCTGGAAAGCTGGAAAGATGATTTCCAATCCAATTCTCTCTACTTTGCATCTGGCACATAACTGTCAAGTGCAGCTCCTGGAGGCAAGGATGGCATGAGCAGGTCGTGGTGGGGTTCAGGGAGATAAGGTGACTGGGTTCGAGTTACACAGGGGGTAAAGCAAAGCCTGGCCCCTAGGCTTTCCCCATTCAGAATCGACCCCCGGGCTTGGTGACCATTCTGGAGCAAGGCTGCATACATAGCTCAGTGTTACTTCCAGGTCAAACATTTTCACACGGGCAATGGCTGTTTTTGTGACATGTGGAGAAGTCAGCTCGGCTTTTGTGGATATCAGAACGGAGAAGCAACAAGCCAATTCCGTTCAACCACAGTGTGGGCTGGCTTTGTGGGAAAGGCTGTTCTGCAAAGTGACAACTGGCATCCTGGGCCTCAAGATAGGGAAGTCAGCGCTGTACGTGGCCGCGGCTGATCTGGGTTTCTCACTCAGGTTTTTATCTGGCATCTACTTGGGGATGACAGGTCCTAGGGCAGGCAGCTGTCAGGCGTCATCGCTGTCGCCCTCGAATGGGATGGAAGGTCAGGCTGAGAAAGGCTCCAGACTCCTTCCCACCATTCCTTCTAGAGGAAATTCACCCATGGGGGAAACAGGGTCAGGGAGAGGGGCTTAGCCCCTGAACAGTACAGAGGGAAGAGAGGGAGAGGACTGGTTTAAAGTTCTGGCTCTGAAATAGATCAGCTGTGCTGGCCCTGGGGATGAGTGCTCACATCTCTCTAAGATGGTCGAGCCTTGACTTTGGGTGTTAGACCCACATGGATTCAAATTCCATCTCTGCCACTTGCAGGCTGTGTGACCTTGGGTGAGTTGCATGCTTCCCTGGGGTTCAAATTCCTCATTAGCGCTCATAATGCCATCTAACACGGAGGGCTGGAGAGTGTAATAATGCACATAGAGGGGCTAGCACACATGCCTAATAAGGTCAGATGTCAAACGCATCTTCCTATGGCCAACTCTCCAAGCCTGTTTCACTTCTGTAAGACGGCGACCCCAAAAGAACAGCTTCGAGGGCTGCTGTGTAGACAGAACGAGCTGACCGGCGGCAGAACCCCAGCCCAAGACCTATACTTCCTGACGAGCAAGCTGAGAGTTGGGGCCTCAGTCTCCCCATCTGCAAAATGGGCCCTTGGCTTCCACCCCTTCTCCCATAGCCCGGGAACCCCCGAAAAGCGGTGGAAGCGGTTGTTCTTTTCCCCTCCGGTCCCCTCGACCCTCTCTAATCCCTGGATCCGGCCGGCCCAGCCGCTCCCTCAGCCCCAGCCCTTCAGTGGCGCGCCCGACCCGGGCCTCCGGCGTCCCCGGCCGCTCCCCGGCCCCGCTACCTATGGTGGAGATGAAAGTTGAGTTGAAGGCGTCCTCGGAGAAGCGGAACAGGACACAGGTCTTCCCCACCCCCGAGTCCCCGATCAGCAGCAGCTTGAACAGGTAATCGTAGGTCTTCGCCATATTACACTCTCTCCCCGACGGGAAGTGCGGCCAGCGCCTCGCCACTGGCCGCTGGCCCCGTCCATCAGCACCGAGCCCGCCCCTTATTGGCTCCCGGCCCGCTGAGCGTCACCCAGGCCGACACCCGCCCCCGCGCCCCTCCCGTCGCGGGGAGACCTGGGGAAGGGGAGAGCAAGGCGCGGTGCCGGAAGCGACCCGAGCGCGCAGCTCATTGGTCGGCGCTCGGGACAGGGCGGGCTGCAATTGGCCAGCGGTGAAGAGTCGAGGGGCTTCAAAAGAAGATCGAGGGGGCGTGGCATTGCGTGTCCCCGCCTTCCACCCACCCCCAACTTGTGGCGACCCCGCCCCCCGGCGGGAAGGGGAGGGCGGGGAGCGACGCCAACGGCTCCGCGCGCCCGCGCCTCGGGGGGGCGGGGCTTAGGGCTCGTGCGCATGCGGGCCGGGAGACCGTTAGGCGCCAGCAGAGGGCGCACGCGCGGTGGGCCCTCCGATTCCCGCCCTCACGGCCCGCGCAGCCTCCATAGGCCTCGGGAAGAGCGCGGGAAGGGAGTGCACGGGGTGGTGCTGTCGTCTGCAGGACGCTGCGTCCATTCAGGGGGAACCGGAGAGGAAAGGAGAGTGGGGACGCTCATCATCGTCGAAGCGAGGCCTCTTCGGACGTCGTCCGGGGCCTCGGCGCCGGCCAGGCGGACTACTCCGCCCCCTGAGCGGCTTCACTACCCCCAGCCGCACCGAGACCCGCGGGGACTCCTCGCGACGCGCCCTTGGACCTAATTAGCGACTGTCCAGACCACTGTGTGCCCGCTGTCCTCCCGCCCCCCGAGCCTCGGCCGCCCCAGCCCCGCCGGGGGTGCTAGGGTCGTGGGGATGCTAGGAAGAGTCATGAGCGTTGTTCTTTGCTTGCCTGTTGTCAGCATGTACGAAAACACCCGAAGTCCTTAATCCGCCCCCCTCCCCCACCCCACTGGGGTCAGTAGTATGTCTCCTGCCTCTTTGTGGTGAGCAAACCGAGGCCAGAGCTTAAGTGACCCTCCCGGGCTCCAGCGTGGGAAGCTGGTTTGAGCTGGGACACGCCGGCCTCTGATGCCTGAGGTCCCGGTGGTGTCCTGATGGTCGGAGGTGGGCGTTGGGAAGGCGTCTAGACCCGCATAGGTTCCTGCCCAAGCCGGCCTTGGCCGCCCTTCCCGGCTCCCTCTGAGCCGCTCCGCTGATCTGGCTGCGGGTGGGGAGTTTCAAGCAGAGCTTGTGCCGTTGGGCCGCTACCGACCACCTTCCTGGGACTTAACCCGTTCTGCCGGCGGGTTTCTTCGGCCGCCGCCGCCTCCCTTCTCTGCGGGTTGCTGCTGAGATCCCGTCGCGGTCTTTGGGCTTTCCGCAGGCCCCTTAGGGCTTCCTCGTGGTTCTAGGTCTGTTAGCACCCTGGGTGATCTCCTTCGATACTGTGGCCGCTAGGATCCGCGCACAGGCGGTTCTTGGAGGAAATCCGCATCGCCCGCCATCCTCCTGTGTCCAGCTGCTTTCTGGACTTGGCAAGGGTACTTTGACAGGTCCACAGCCGAAGTGTCGACTTCTACTCAGACTGGCGGGGCCCGAATTACCTTCTGAGTGAAACCCAAGTCATGTCAGGCACTTCTCTTTCACCCCCTCACATCCGGGTTCTAGTAGTTGTTGCAACTTTCTCTTCTGTGCGCTGGCCTTCCGCATTATTCTCTAATCCAGAGTTTGCTCTCTGGTGAGTTCGTTCTAAAACCTTATCCAATACCCATTGGTGGTCTGTCGGGATCAAGTCATCACCATCTGGCCTTAACCTCGCCCTGGGTTCCACATACACTTCAGGGATTGGGAACTCCCCGAGACCGGAGATCAATTTAACAAAAACCGAACACTTCTTTCTGCCAAGTGCGAGGCTCCAGATGGACTACGACAGTATGTGGAGATTAACTGCAGCCCAAAGGGGTGGGCAGGAGGGAGAGAAGGAATTTCAATCTACTGACGGCAGGGCATCTAGAGGATACTTTATTCATTGACATTCCCTGTGCCTACCACCGAAGCAAGCTCACAGCACCCGCCAAATGTTGGATTAATATAAAGGAGATGTTTTTTAATTGCACTTGGTGACAAAAAATTGCACACGTTTGACTTTCAATTCTCTCTGATTCCCTATCCCATCAGATCTTGAGGCAGCCATCAAAGCAATTCTGGTAGTGAAACTGGAGTCCTTATCGACACTTTCTTCAAGTTACCTGCCAGCCAGTCAGCGGTCCTAAGACTTCTTCCCCCAGGTCACTTCCTTTTCCTTCCATGGCAAGCACTGCCTGGGATGAACTGAAACCTCTTCCTAACCGGCCTTACTGCCTCTAGTCTACCCCCCATTCTAGACCTTCCTGAAAACGACTCAGTGGATCTTCCTAATGTGTTTCCTTGTTGATTAGTCTTCAGTGGCTCTCCACTCCTGACCAAATTAAGTTCAGGCTCTCATCAGTATGGACCAGTTTACCTTCCAGCTTTCCTTTCTTCCTTCCTTTATATATGCAACACACAGAAGCCTTAGGCAGGCAGGGACCATTTCCCCGGCTCCTGTCACATGTATTAAAATCCTAGTTATTCTTCACAGCCTGGCTGGTTATATAACAAAGGACAGAACCTTTTGAATTACTGAGGCCAAGTGCTCTCACCTGAATACAGAGCTAATAATCCTCATCTCATGGTATAAAGCAAATAACATTTGGTCATCATCTTGGCACCATTATCTTTCCTTTCCATCCTGCTAATATTCGCTGAACCAGAATACCTTATATGACCCCCCCCGACACATTCTAAAGTTCACACAAGTGATAGTTTATGTAAAAATTTATTTGACCAAAATGTAGAAAAAGTGATACTATTACATATGATACAGTTGCAAGAATCTAAATGAAAAGTGTGGGTTTTATTCAATTGCACAATTTGCTAGTGTACCTTCTGGGTAGTGTGATGCTTAATAAATAGGAGTGAGGGGCAGAGGATTTGGATAAGCTAGAAGCAGGGTGATTTTTGTCAGAGTTGTAAACTTGAGTCGGCCCCCACACTGCCGGGGAATGTGGAATGTTTCGTTTCAGCTCTGAGATGTTACCCAAGAAAGCAGAAATACAACAAAGCCAAAATGCAGCTATGTCTACAAAATGCTCCATATCCAGTTTAATCAGGAGTTTCTTGGTCTTTCATTAACTTGGTCCTGAAGAAGGAATTAAAGTCCTATGTAAGGAAGTCTTCAGTGTGTTATTCCCTGAAGTACCCAGGAGAGGAAGCTAGGCCCATTACTTTATCTCTACTTTGCTGTCAGAGAGGCCCCTTCTGCCCAGTAGTTGTTAGCACTGCTCAATTATTGAGGGCACAGTCTTTTTGATAAGACTTCTCTGAATAAGACTGAATTCTACCACATTCATTCCTGCAAGGCAGATGGTATCAGAGCAGACAAGCATGGGTCATTCCTGGAATAAGATATCTGCTCCTCAGAGAACTTCAGAATGAAAGAAACATGGAGAGGAACATCAAGGACCTATCCAGAAACTATTTGGGTGATTCTTAGAATTATTTCCCAAGCATTCTCATGCTGGCTGCTCCGAGGATGTTTGTTCTGCATGGTGGAGTGTGGAAAAGAGCCAGGATGATTAGGTTAATCTGTCTACGGTTTATGACTTCCCACAAAGCAAGCCCTCTTCCCCCTCCTCTCTTTTTTTATGCTCTGGATGGAAAATCCCTACCCACTGTCATGTGCTGGTCCCTGGCTACCTGTCGTGTGAACAGCAGTGGTCCAGAAGGCTATGTATTCTGTGGCCTTTTAAGTTGACTGATGACTAGACACTGGAGTCTGTGAACGTATAGGGCTGTCTATTCTCCCAGGAACCGAATGCCCTCAGTCTCTAGGAGAGCATGCCCAGTATGAAATACCCTGCCTACCTTATGAATAAATGCAACTTAAAGATAAAAATAGAGCTGAAAAAGCTGGTGCCATTCGAAAAAAAGAAGGAATTAGATTTAACTGGTGCTCAAAGCTTCTCTGATACAAAATATTTGGTCACGTATTCATAATTTGCTTGACATTTCCAGCAAAGCGCAGATTCAAGAGCAAAAGAAACTTCTTACAAGAGAAGAGAAAGACACAGAGCTCTGAAGTTTCTGTTGGAACAAGACTCTTCTGTTTTGGTTATATACAGTTAAGTTCGTTTAGTGTCTGGTCCAGTGTCTGATGTAAGCCCACATTCTCTTCTTTGGCCTGGGCAAGTTTTTCTGGTGAGGATTAAGAATGGGGGGGGAGGGGGAGAAATTAATAAGCATCTAAAATTCTGTTAAGCAAAAAAAAAAAAAAAAAGTTTCTAAAACTCCAAACTGCCAGAGTGAAAGTCATAGCAAAGAAAGTACTTCACATTTAATTATAGCAGAACACTGTGGAATAACAGAGTTCAAGTATCAAATATACAAGTCAGACAGGGTTTTAAGATAAACTACAGAGTCTTCAACTAAATTTGAATTTCAGGTAAACAACAAATAATGTTTTAGTACAGGTATATCCCAAATGTTGAGTGAAATACATTAGGCGAAAAAGTTATTCACTGTCTATGTGAAATTCAAATTTAACTGGGTGTCCTGGGTTTCAATGTGTTAGATCTGGCAATCTAGAGTTAGAACACCTGGATTTAAGCCCCGGCTGTCCCACCAAAAGAAGCCATTTAACCTTGCTAAGTCTCAGTTTCCCCATGTGTCAAGGATAACAATAGCAACGTGTGGTGTGGGAATTATCATAAGGAGATAATAAATGAGAAACGCTTTAGAACTTCTGAAGAGCTACACAGACGTTAAGGCGTTATTCCTAGATATGGGAAGCAGTACATTTCCCTCCTAGTGCCCGTTTGGTAGCCTTTGGTAGGAAACTGAAATCCTGAAACCCATTTTTTTCCTTCACAGCTTCTGGGAACGGCCATATAAATTCCAGGCATAATTGTGTTTTGAGGTCGGTGTGTCCATAGCAATGTAGTCAAACCCTAGATAAACGC